CCCCTCCACGTTAAAATATATCGTCGCCTCTTCGATTTCTTTCCCGTGGTATGATAGTTGATGACACCAGAAATTAGCCAAAGTACTATGTATGGACATCACAGGCGCGGCGTTTTGCGAGAATACAAAGATTTTTTTAATCGGAATTCGCTCGATCGTTCATACTTCCAGCCACTGGCGAAGAATTGTGAAAATGCAAGAGAATAGAAGCGAAGCGAAAATTAATGTATTGATGTCAATATCGAAATATTTGCTATATGATTGTATATGAACACATTTAACATTAATAATATACCAATAATTGCCCAATAACATATGGAATTGATAACGGGCTAAAATATTTTAAAACAAATTATGATCTAAAAATATTATGCTATTTTAATATAATACATAATACATGTTTCAGTTGATTTAATGTTTTATGTACATAAACATGTACAAATACAGGGAGATATCAATAAAGGTCTGAAATACTCCTAAACGTTCATCCAGTAATTATGAATGCGTCAAATTAACAGTCACAACAATAACGCGTCAGGCTGTACTTGACAATGACACACCTTACGAGTTTCTTTGTCAACAAGTAAGGGTTAGTATCTTGGACATGCATTAAGGTACTTATATCAACTTTTAACAGACGTACGTGTCTCGAATTCCTTGAATTGGCTGTATGGCAGTGTGAACCATGGAATAGTTTTAATGGTTTGACAATCGACCGTGCAGCAATATACATCCACAATATACTTCATCGCTATTTAGACCCGTAAATCCGACAGCCTCGCACTCCCGACATCGACACACCGAATTTGCAACGAACCACTGAAATCACTTATTAATTAGTCTCGTTAATCCGACACGGTGATCAACGTACTCCGTGGTCATCTGCCCGCGAGTACACAGACACGTGTTTTGATGCGAGACGAGTCGGCGAGTAGCTGCATATTTCAACGGCTGCAGAGATAAACTTGCTTAACAATAAACAACTACTGCTTTCAATAAACAAAACAGGATTAATCACATGCCTCGATTACCTCAATCTTATTAAACTCATATACAAAATCTCGCAACCGCTGTGTACTTTACAGGTCACGTCAGAACGACCTTCCGCGAAGTTTGACCGACCAATCAAATTACTAACAGGAAGTCGACACAAGCCACTATGAATTGAAAGCAGCTTTCTAAGCATTTGCGGCACTAAAGTACTCACGGAAATGAAAAAAAACCCTGGTCTTTTCGATCTCAGATTTTAAATAAATGCAGTTAATATACAAAATATATAAATATTCAAACAACTCAATTAGTACTAATTGGGCTTTGGCACAAATACAGCGTATCAAAGGTTTTTATATCTTTTTACACGTAGACTGTTGTGAAACTGAGCATAACCAGGTGTTTGAAGATCAAGGTGAATGTCCATGACCTATGACACCTTGACGACAGGTAAAAACAGGTGCTTGAAACCCACGTGCATGTGATTTGTCAGTGGTTAGTGATTTGTCAGTAGTTTTATTTTTGAATGTTGAAAGTGCCTACAATTACCTCCTGTAAAGTACATTTTGTATTGAGCACTGAGATAAAACTAGCAAATCAAGACTAGTACTTTTCCAGTTGTTTTGTTATTTCGTATTTACATCTACGTAATGCTTTGTGTCGATTATTTAATCCAGCAAAACAGTTTTTTTCCATTTCCATGAGTACTTTAGTTTCAAATTGCCGACTTGCATTCCCAACTATGCCTTATAAAGTATTTTAAGTCAGACATACAGTCCGTATCAGTAGTCTTTGAAAACGTATTCCGCTAACATTGTAACATAACAATATGATTATTTCCTTTTTTATTACGAGTTTGAATCGTTATCGATCGTGTAGTTGTCCGATTTTCGATCACGAACGTTAAAACAACCTAATTTCGTTTATAATAAATAACGGTAGAAACGATGAAACATACATGTAAACGCGCGTGCACTGAATATCACAGGCAACATTGTGTGTAGAAAAACATACTGTCCAAGTTAGCCAATGGAATTTATGCCCGGGTAAAAATATTTGCATAAAGCGAATTCCGACCTGTCGACAACGGACAAGTACGTAAACCATCTGTCTTGTCATTGAATAAGATCATGTTTTCTTCCCCATTTATATTTATACTTAATGTTATTATTCTTGCAATTGCTATAGTGTAAATTATAGCTTATTCAACATATTGTTGCCATAACACGCGCAATTGAACTTGCAACAAACACCCGCCTGAAACACGTGGTGCTCTTTGTGATGCTGATGTATCCCATAATTATTATTGTTCGTGTTCACTAATAAATGGAGCTGTTGATGACATCTGAACACGATTTCAGAATGAACATATATATTTGGTGGGACTAAATATTTCATAAAGCAAAGAAACAAGACAACAGGCGTACGGATTTCTTCCGTTGACTTTTATTTCTAACATCCTCAAATAAACGATCAAAACGATATGCCTTAACTGTTCCATGACGTGGATGAAATAACTAATCAGCTGCTACCGTATTTTCTTGAGTATAGTGCGCAATATTTGTCCAAAAAACATAGCTGTGTAGAAGAGGGTGCGCAATATACACGAAATAATGACTTTTGATGATTTTTTTCCCTCCATGGAAAGATATTGCCGTGGGCACGTAACACCGGAAATACCATGTCAACAATTCCATACTAAAGTACGCAAATTAATAATGTAATTACACTGTCTGGCTATAAAAAGTGTTGGTTTTTTTATATATCTGGACTTATGTATGTAACTTATTTCATTAATTCTATTCAAAATTCCTTTAAATATTGTTTTAATTAATTTCGGCGAAGGGAGCGGAAGATCGCGCAACTCACCTTTTATTAACAGCGACCACGGTCAGATTACCGCTATTGACGCCTTGAAACGAACTTTAATTGACCGAGAATGGATACATATATCATAAATGCCGTACTCTGACTCGTTAAAAGTCATATTTGTTATAGTTTGACGATTCTATGTCAACACGTAGTTCTCGCGATCACGTGCGCGAGAGCCTTGACGGTGACTGGTCAGACTGGTTCCATGTGAAAAATTATTACCCGGCAATAGCGATCAGCTGCTTCGCTTAGGGTTATTATTATTTAAAATATGTTTAGTAAAAGCTGCAACTAAATTAACAAGATATTGGGATATATTATTACTGATAAAAAATAGTTTCAGATACAATTTTTGCCGATCCTTGCATTAAAATACTGTAAAGTTATATATCATTGGGTGTGTCTTGACCGTATCACCGGTAGATTCCAAGAAAACGTGTGTACAGCTAATAGCTGTGTCCGGCTTAGTTTACGAGAAAATACACAAGGTAATCTTAATCCCTGGATGTAAAACAATGCCTGGCAGAACAAAAAATACAATTTAAAAACGGTAAATAAATTTGTCTGGTGATTTTTTATCTCAAATTTTGAATTTGTACTGACCAAGTTTCTCATCACCCGTTCGTTTACCGGAATTCGCTGAAGGGGTAGATCTACAGTGTAATTTATTTCTGCACTTGACATTCGATTTTTCCCCCTAAAATAGTGAATCCGCTAGAGGGGGTTGCACACTATACTCAAGAAAATACTGGTAATTGATATAGGAAATACCCACACACTTGTGTGAACTCTCAACATCTACTGAATGTCGTATTGAATCGTAGACCATTCATTGTGTGCTATGATGAATAGATAAACCACTAAACTCGTGAAGTTCACGTAATAATTTTCAAACAATCCTGATAGTGCAACAAGTTAATTTTAAATCACACACATTCAAGTACACACACGTCTTTCCATGTATCCACATTCACCCGCTGACCGCACAGGCCGCAGACACCTAAACGAGCCTCCTGGTGGTAATGAAGGCCGGGAATCAACCAAGCGCTAACGATGAAGTGACACCAATACACAGGACATTCAAAGTCCTTTTACACGCGCTTCAGTGACTTTGCCCACGCACGCGAAAAACCGGGTCCTGCAGTAGGAATTGAAAATCCACATCCCAGAGAGGCCACCCTGACTGTATAGTTGGGCAGGTAATCAGGTGCAACCCCTATTTCGCTTTCCAGCTCAAACATGTCAAAAACAAGCCACCCATACTGTCAGATCTAAAATGGGATGTTGTTTCGGTTTGTAATACAACAGCTGTCTGTGACTATGGTGCTTAGACCAAAGACCTACTTAATGTTAATACAATTGACTAATGAATATGAGACTCATCATGCTCATGCTAACATGGCTAAAGTGCCACAGTTTGCGATGCAGGGTTATGTCCTTGGGTGTGCCAGAAACCTATGACCATGCTTTCAAATTCCAGCTTTGCCATTATTATGTGTCTAGGTTTGTCAGCATCATCATTAGCATGATTAGGGATGTGCGGTTTTATCGGTATACCGGTATATTGCAATACAAATTCATCACGATACGTATCGCGATACGCTTTTGGCGTATCGGTTTTTCCCTCATTATTCAAACTGCGACTGACATGTATATGCCATGATGTATAGTCTTACCTTATTAAATCAAAACAAAGACAAAACAAATGCTTCATACTCTTTATTTGATTGTAGATAAAAATAATAGTACAATTTATTAAAATTGGTTCATAATTTTGACCAAATTGTTAACATTGCAGCTTTCATATTAATATTTGTCAAAGGGATATGAAAAAAAGCTTTTCTCTTGGTAGAAATTATTTCTCAATATATTGCAATAATATTGCAATATGTTTTTGAAATATTGCAATATATCGCAATACAGTTATGGGTCCAATTCCCAACCCTAATCATCATGGTCATACCTGTGCCAAAGTTGTAAATGTCTAAATCTGCATTACTTCAGGCTTTCCCCCTCCACAATATTCTTTGGCCTCTCATACCATTTGTCATCAGTACCTGGTATGTGTGAATGGTTCCAAAACAAGGAGACATTCAGCGTGTTCAAGACATGCTAAGGGTCTGTTTCATGACTTTCAGACTGGCAGAGTTGGTAGAAAAGGAAACTGAAGCATACTTCAAGATGGATCCAGATCCTTTTGATGACCGACATCCAGGTACTTACTTTAACTCAAGAACAGATTATTAAACTGCATTAACCGTTTTAACATAAAAATATTTTTGCAAGCCCACAGTATATTGAAACTTGAAAGATAAGGCATAGTGTTCATATATTTCTGTATGGACCATCACGATTAAGTATTGTGTGTATTGGACATGTTGAACCATCCTGGATTATCCAGTATGTTATGTCTCTATTCTTGTATGATAAATATTCTAGGCCTGTTTGCTGCAGGAGCTTGTTTTGAGCCCATTGAGCGGCATGATGCTAATAATCATGATAATAGCCATCCAATCAAATTGGTATCACAAGCGACAGAAATTCTGTGTTGAGTAGGATATAGGAAAGATGGTGATGTCACTTCCGAAATGAAGCTATAGTGGTGGATGGGTCCACAGTATTTATCATGATGGAATGGAGATATGATACACTGGATAATAGGGATAGATATACATTTTTATTTTCACAAGTTAGCCAAAAATATCATCCACAGAGTGGTCATCCACAAGGAAGTGTCACTTGTCATTTCTGAATTTTACTTGTCTCTGACTAGCAGACTTTATGTCAAGCCGTGGTTTTTGTAGTTAGGAATCTGGACACAAGTTATTTCAAGTTTTTCATGTACAAGTTCTTTTAACATGTTTGCTGTTTGAAAACAAACCAGCATTATCATTATCAGTGATAACTTCTTCATGTTCAGTAATGAATACATTATTACTTTATAGCTGAAATATTGCTGATCGTGCAGATGTACAAATAACACCTCTTACTCCCTCTGTACATCCTGTAGACAGCTGATCAGCTATTAATAGGAGTACACTCATCATCAGCAGCATAATAATCATGTTGATGAGGAAATGTCTGTACATGACATGATGAGTAAAACCATCAAGAGGGTGTTCAATTTCAAAAGTTACCTATTTATAACATGCATAATTGTATCATGTTCATGAAAATCAATATTTTCTTTTGCAGGCAAAACAAATCCAACATGTGCTCTAGGTCATCTTATGAAGACTTTGTTTAAGAATGAAGACTTCATGAATGAGGTAACCTATAAGTGTGACTACTGAATCATGTTTATTATCATGATTACTCAAATATAAGAACAGCAGGGCTTGAAGTCATCACACAGATGACATCTGTACCTTGTCAGCTTGCTGGGTTAGCCTCTTTGGTCATGTAGACAAGGTGTTCGACCTCGGATCAGTAGGTTCAAATCCCATGACACGAATTAGAAAGTTTTATAGCTGCTACATAAGAAATGCTGTCTGACACCTATGGTGGCAAGTGGTAAATTATGATAGTTACAAAGTCTATTAAATGGTGACAAATATCATTATCCTTCTGGTCTCCTATGTCATAAGGGGCGGTAGGGAAGCCCAGTGGGAAGCTCCCATGTCATGATCATGTTGATCCATGAATATATTTTACTGTTTAAAAAAATAATACAAACAGTATCTTGATTTCACAGTCTTGTGTAACATCTCTCCACAAACATCATGAACATGACAGAACAATATTGTCCACTGTTAAAGATAAACTGTGGTGGAATTTCCATGGAAATCAGTGTTACCATGGTTATTGATTATCTAAAGGAGGGTTTAACATAAGTTTTTTGTCTTTTAGTTGGTTGGCTCGTATCTGATGAACCCAAGTGAAAACAACCAGGATCTCCACACTGCAGCCTGCCGCCTCTTGCTGGATGTGATGCCAGGCATGGAGGCATCGGTCGTCTTCCAGGACACGGTGAGACCTTGAGATATTTCACTGTGATATGGGACCTCCTCCGTGGTCTAATGGGTGCGTCTGCCTAGAGAGCAGAAGGCCGGTGGTTCGATCCCCCGGCCATGTCATATCAAAATGCATTAAAAGATGGAATTTGTTGTTGCCCTGCCTGGCCCTTGGCATTAAGGGGATGAAACAAGGTCTGGTCAGCTCAGTCAGTATATTGTGTCTTAGTGGGATATACATGTTAAACTGCGATGTGTTATCTCATTAGGCTAGCACTATGAACTGGTATCAGTCAGAATATTGTGTCTTAGCATGCTTCGTGTGTCAGTATATTGTCTCTTAGTGGGATATACTTGTTAAACTGCGACTTATTATCTCAGTTGGCTAGCACTATGAACTGGTATCAGTCAGAATATTGTGTCTTAGCATGCTTAGTGTGTCAGTATATTGTGTCTTAGTGTGTCTGAATATTGTGTGCCTTAGTGTGTCAGTATTTTGTGTTTGAGTGGGATATACATGTTAAACTGTGACGTGTTATTTGGCTATCATTATTAAACTGGCACAAGTCTGGACTAGTACAAGCAACCACACACATACATGCATACACCTCGCTATAGAAAAAAAATATTGAAGGTGATGTTAAACCCTATTAAACCTGGCCTCACCTTCAAAGAGCAGTCATTTAATATCCGCCTGTTTTGAAAAATGTTTCCAGAGCAGAATTCCTAAACTGTTGAATTATTTGGTGTTGAAACTTGCTGTACAGATCTGCCTCGGGTGAAACAGGTGCCTGGTGATGATTTGCGATTTCTGTTGTTGATTTGTTTGTTTTCATGATGACCTTTACTGAAAATGAGGGTAGTGCTCGTTTCCGGAGCAGAACTAAAAAAACATTGAATATTTCTCAACAAACTTTGCTATAGAGATCAGTCTTGTAGTGAACTGGTGCCTTTTCATGATTTGGGATTTTGAAAATTATTTAACAGCATATTTTTTTACTTCACTGTACTGAATGTATCCAATGGCAATCAACCAAAAGTGGGGTATAGATAGCCAGGCTCCATTCCGAGTCCGAGACCGGAGGAATATGTCATCTGATAACTCTTGTTATAGAGGTGAGGGAGGGGGGTGGGGGAGATGTCTTTAGTAGAGGGTCATAAGAAATAATGCACATATTTGGGAAGGGTCATGAAAAATGAACTTTTTGATAATAACATTTCAAGTGGTCTTTTAGGGGAGGGCCAAGAAGAAAATGTCCAAGGACATGGGGAGGGACAAGCATAAGATAATAGGGTTCTAAAGATGTTCAGCTTTGCACTTTGACTGTGCTCTTAAATTCTGTCGAATGCATTCTTGGCTCTGTAAGCATCTTTTCCTCTGAAATTGCCAGATTGAGTAAACCAAACTTTTACATGTATGATTCTTCTGATATACTCAACAACAAAAGTTCCTGTGACACCAATATTTTAGTGTATTTTTCAAACAAGTAAAGTTTGTTTTTCAATATTGTAGTACATGTATGGAATCAAGTCACAAAAACGCAACTGCTACAGAAAAGCATGCATTCCATGTGAAAGTTGACTTTTATGCAGGCCCCATGCATTTCACTACCCATGAATGGGTATAAAACATGTGTGTTAACGGGATTCCATATGCATTGTTTAGGATCGTGCTGACAACAACTACTAAGAAAAACAACAAAATTACGCAATTATTCACCATTACGAAATGCAACGCCTGTCCGAAAATGAGCGTCTGCGAGCCATTGGTATGCTTGAAGCAGGATCGAGTCAACTTGATGTTGCAAGACAATTTAACGTCCACAGAAACACCATTTGGTGTTTATGGCAACAGTGGCAACAGACGAATGCAGTCAGAGACCATCCTCAAAGTGACAGGCCACGCGTAACCAATAATTGACAAGACAACTGGATTCGAACAACACACCTACGAAATCGATTCCAGCCAGCAACAGTGACTGCAAGAAGCATCCCAGGCCTTCCACGAATATCTTCACAAACTCTACGTCGCCGCCTCAGGTGTGCGGGGATTGTCGCCAGAAGACCCGCCAGACGTCCCATTTTGACAGGAAACCACCGTCAAGCATGTCTACAGTGGTGCAGACAGCGTCTACGCTGGACGGCCATGCAGTGGGGACAAGTTCTATTCACTGATGAGTCTCGTTTTCACCTCAGGGGCGGTCGGGTAGCCTAGTGGTTAAAGCGTTTGCTCGTCACGCCGAAGACCCGGGTTCGATTCCCGACATTGGAACAATGTGTGAAGCCCATTTCTGGTGATCCCTGCCGTGATATTGCTGGAATATTGCTAAAAGCGGCGTAAAACCATACTCACTCACTCACTCACCTCAGCCACAGCGATGGACGGATTCGAGTGTACCGAGGTCGAGGTGAACGTTACATCAATCATTGTGTCATGGAATAGGATCGGTTCGGGGGCGGAAGCGTTATGGTATGGGGTGGGATTACAGCAAGACAGAGGACCCGTTTGATAGTGGTAGAAGGAAATCTCAATGGACGGCGCTACTGCGATGAGATCATCGGCCCTGTTGTTCTACCGTTTTTGCGTCGTCATGGCCCAGGCATTACCTTTCAACATGACAATGCCCGGCCTCATATTGCTCGACTTGTTCGCTTCTCTTCAACAAAACAACATGAATGTCATCCCCTGGCCGGCTCACTCCCCTGATCTCTCACCAATCGAGCACATGTGGGATGAGATGGATCGGTTCCTTCGACATCACCCACGTGTTCCTAAGACACTCCAGGCTTCGAAACATGCTCCAGCAGATTTGGACAGATTTCCCACAGGACTTTGTGCGGCGCCTGGTCCATTCCATTAGACGAAGATGTGTTGCTTGCATCGCAACCAGAGGTGGACACACGCTATTAATTTGTAAATTGACATTTTGGCATGTTCATGTTTTTTATGAAATCACACATTTTCTGAAGTCAGTTAGGCAAATTAAACCATTTGAACACTTACAGGAGTCTTTTATCTGTTGCAAACAGAAATTGTTTCAGATTTGGTAAAAAACATAACTTTGCATTAAATCTTATTCAATGTCAACATGGTCAACATGGTCAAAGGAACTTTTGTTGTTCAGTATATTTTGTGCAAATTTTCCGCATATTCTCACAATCCTTACGTCCATTACCTGTACCTTTTCTCCCAATGACGATTGTCATATTTCTCCCACTTTGGGATGCGATCGTTCGGTTATCGGGTTTATCTGTGTTTCCAAGCTACATCTATGGGGAACAACTCTCTAGACACTCCCCTCTCAAAAATAGCGTTGTCAAATATCCAGGAATGACGTCAGATAGAACAATGTTTTATCTTGAAATAAACCACACCCCGTTCTTCATTGTTCTTTGCAATTTTAGCAGTTTTTAACCCCCAACTCATTCACGTTAGAAAGTTGTTACACTGTTGTTGTTTTTTAATAATATGTAACTGTTAAAGTTTGTCTTTGGGTTAGGTTTTCAAGTTGAAATAACCATTGTCTGTCCACATAATTCCGTTGTTTGTTTGTAGGAGGGCCTTGTGGACCGACTGTTTGGCTGGGCTGAGAATGGCCCTGAGCCCCTGCGGTCCTATGCTACAGGACTGTTGGCTGGAGCCATGGAGATTCAGGATGTTGCTTCTGCAAATAAGGAGAAAAACTATGCTATGGTGAGTCCATGTGTCCTGCATTGCAGTCTCAAAATCAAGGAGGGTCTGTGGGTCCTTCAGGTTTGATGCCACAGCTTTTGATGAAGGGAGCTAAATATTTTATTTTACGATTAGGGTTAAGAGAGCATGGACAAGGGACCCTTGACTGTGATTCTTTCCAGCACTGCGTTGTGTAAAATCATAGGTCGCCTGTACATGGACAGTGAGGATTCCTAGCACTGTATGCTGCTATTGGTTAATTTGGACATCTGTAAGGATTATATTGGGCACCAATGAATCTTAACTTTAACAGTGTTAAAACATTGTGAAAGACTGCAGGGACTTATTTAGACCTGCACAGTGGCTGATATTCCTCCCCAAGTCTGCAGCAAAATGTCAGTAAGCATCCCCAAATTGGAATTTGAAAAAATCCCAATTCATTGTATCCAACTAATATTATTGCTTTGTAGAAGTGATCTGTATTTGACTGATAACATGACCAATAATGAGATAGAGGTTTTACTGCTTAGTTTTACGTTATTGCATTGAATGCAATGTTTAAATATCCTTGACTTTCAGAAAGTAAAAAGTTTTTAAAAAATCCAAATGTGAACAAAGTAACAATTTTTCCCCCCGAATTTTCCTGCCAAATGCACTTGGTTTGGAATCCAAGAGGAATCCCTGGACAGTGACAAAGATTTGATAAGGCTTAAAAAAAGAAAAGAATTGGCTCTCAGACAATGACTTTTTAAAATATTGTGCGGGGGGTGTTTATTTTGGTTTTTTCTGGCTTGTTGAGCTGGTATGTAAGCAATTAAACAGTTATGAACCATCAACCTGGGAAAGGGCCTCCCTACATAAACAAGCATACAAACTTCTATTGCCGCCATGACCATAACATAAGATGCGCAGTAAAGCAGTGTGCATGTAAAGGGAAGTAACTACTTGCTATATTGGATCACATTTTTTAAAGTATTAGGATTTTTTTATTTTTTTTTTAGAAATGGAAATAAAACAAAATGTGTGGCAGACTTTATGATGATGCGGGCGGTACCTGAGAACCTAGAATCCCACTATGTACAATGATGATAAGAGAGACTTCTGCTTAATGACCTGATTATGAGATGTTTAGTTTAAGGAGTAGAGAGTTCAGTATTGTCTCATCATGTTATGTAAAGGATTCGTGTATGGCTTTACATTGTCCGTGTGTTGGGTGCAGGTCCCCCTCATGCTGAAGAGGCTTCATGAACTGAGGAAGAAACAGGTTCAGGAGGAGTCTGAGAACGTACATCCATCAGTAGGTGATCGGCCATTCTCCATGTTCGGGGAGGTGTCACCAACGAAAGGTACACCCTCAAATGAAAGCATCAGCCACACCAATTCAGCAGCAGATAAGTCATCAGAGGAGGTCGAGAAAGAGAAGCGAGATGAACGAAGACGGAAGATGAAGCGAGCTCTCTCTCCCAGCTACTATAGTGAAGACCTGTACAGGCTCACGTCTACACAGAAGAGAGCTCGGTATCAGGCATTTGGAAGTAAGTCTAGATGCAAACACTGAAACATTGTTCACCTTAGAGTCCCTTGGTCGTTGAATGTATGTGGTGGGTTGAGTAGCGGAGTGCCTACAGTAGACCATTGTGTTCATAAGGGTTATCCTGGGACCATAAGGCTACATTGTGTTCAACATATTTTTCATGGAGTTTGAGGAAATAAAATGGTATTTTAGTTGAAATCAACAATAAACCACATCTGTATTTGGTATTAATCTTTTGCTAATCATGCTAATGGAGGCATTTATTGTTTACAAGTAAACAGCTGATATCTTGCTGCCAAGTAGTAATGGAATGTGTGTTCATAATAAGTTGTATCAAAGGAATCACTTTCTCGATTTATCCAGTGTATTATCCATGTTATCTCCATTCTATGATGATAAATACTCTGTTCATGACAGCGGTCTGTAAATAATCGAGTCTGGACCAGACAATCCAGTGACTGACATCATGAGCATTGATCCACGCAATTGGGATATGATGACATGCATCAACCAAGTCAGCGAGCCTGATAGGCTTGTCAGGCTCGCTGATTTGGTCGATGCGTGTCATCGATCCCAATTGCGTGGATCGATGCTCACGATATTAATCACTGGATTGTCTGGTCCAGACTCGATTATTTACAGACAGCCGTCATATAGCTGGAATATTGCTGAGTGCAGCTTTAAACAACAACCCCAAACCCAAAGCATTCTCCAGCATAGCTTTGTTTTGGAAGTGACGTCTCCATCTCTCTTATCAATAATTTTAATAAATTCTATAAATTTTAATAAATTTTAAAACTTTGATTTTTGCCATTGACTTATTACATTTCTTGGTGTGAATGTTGTCCAAACTGCACGAAATTGCTTAAAATGCAATCAAATGTTTAAAAAATTTCTGGGGGGGGGCATGCCCCCAGACCCCCCTAGAATTTTTCTCTTTTTTCGGGAAAACCTGCTCACATTTTAAATTATTTAGCACAGATTTTCAGTCACTCCTGACATTGAGGAGCTTCAAATAACGCAACAGGTCAAGTTGGGTACTGGTGTTACTCTCTGTATCACAGCTTGTTTAAATCCTAAAATAACGGGGTAATTTGATGGGGTAGCTATTTTTAGCACTGTTAGATTCAACCAGGAATATTACGAATCTATGGTAGCAATTGGTTTCAGGATATTTGTCACAATAGAATGGACATAGCACACTGGATAATCGAGGTTGAATGAGTCAAGGTCAAGATGTTGTATGTTAATACTGCCTACTGTTTAGGGCTGTGTATTGACCTGGATTTTGTATTGCAATATATTGCCATACTTTAACCTGTATTGCGATGCGTATTGCAATATATTGCCGAAGAATCACCAGACATCAGCCTTGGCTCCCTTATTTTGTATCCCAGCAACAATCAAGGGAGATAATATGGTCACATAGTAGCAAGCTCCTTCCCAGCTCGTGACACCTTCGTTATAGTATAAATACTCTTGGTGTAGAGAGCTCCAAGAACGGGCTATCACTGTAAGGAGCTTGATAGTCGCAATGTGTACACACCAATTGATAAGATTGTCAGAGGCAAGTTCTATCAGAAAGATACTATTTTCTATCTCTATATCGATTAGGGATACGTAAATATGCTTATTTATATTTGCCCCAATATACTGCTACATTTACAAACGTATCGCAATACGTAGTGCTGAAGATTTGCACCACAATATACCGGTGTACCGGTAATACCGCACACCCGTACTACTGTTACAGATCCTGACCTGGAGTGCAGCAACAGCAGCTGGGCGGAGCTGGAGCCGTACGTTATCGGCTCGTATTCCATGTCCCCTCTCACGGCTGGGATGAAGCAGAGGATGATCCTGCAGTATCTTATCCCCATGGGGGAATATCAGGAGGTCAGTGTCAGGTCACCAGGCTACACCTGATGCAACATTCCTGTGTTTTTGATGCAAAGTACATGATGTAAGCATGTAAATACAGTGATCCCTCGCTACAACGCTACCTTCGGGGTCCAAATAATTGATGAGCGTTATAGATGATCAGCGGTTTAACGAAGGTCGAGTCGTAGGTGGTAGATGACCAACAAAACAGTATACATGCTCTGCCTACCTAACACGATCTATGTTGCACGTTTCAGAGTTTAAAAAAAGATTAGAATAGAAGTTATTTATGATTCATCAGTGTTCATAGTGTAAAAAAAAATTATCGAGTACAATATATGCTTTCAAAAAAACAAACACATCGTATCCCTGCTTTACCGCACGCTATAACCAAGTTAGCGCTATATTGAAGGGCGCAATAACGAGGGAACACTGTATGTAGAAAAATATCAACTGCATCGATTTTTGGTACAACTTGCAACTCATTCAATACTAAGATCAGAATTATTTCCAAACATTAACCCGACTGACCCCAACAGCTGCTCAGTAATAGATAGAAAGTGAACAGTGACACTCAGTGTATATCTAAACTATGTTGAGGACACAGTGAATGTGCAAGCAGGCTTTATAGAATCTCAGTTGACAGACAACTCTAAAAATTACCAGCCCCTCCTCGCCACCTGGTTATATTTCTTTCAACATCATGTTCATTGACAGTATCCCTGAAGTAACTTAGTTACATCTACACTACACATCATTCACACCAAGTTCAGTCATAATTTTCTCTGTTTTTCCCTGGAAAATTTCCCTTTGGTTTGAGACTAAGTCGCTACAAATGGATATTTAACCTCGAAGAAAAGCGCAATGTTATTTCCTTACACTAAACATAGACAACAGGACTTTATTTGTCGGTCCACAGGGACTGGCAGTCAAATCTTACTCTTACAGGTAATAAACTGGCAATTATCTTTCAACAGGTACACTGGCAAAATTCCATAACTAGACAAGATGTCATCATAAACTACACTTGATAGATTTGATATCACACCTGATATTGTTATGTCATTTTAAAATATAATTTGATCAGCCTGTTCCAGGCATACAAGAGTGCCAGAAAATCAGGTATCTGTACAGTAGGTGATAAACTATTATACATGTTATATGCACATGCTGATATCCTCCATTTATATTACCCAGAAAGAAACAGTTTACATTATTGGTGTAGGTAAATTCTCGTGTTACATGTTGTTACCCTGCCTGGTGCTCAGCATTAAGGGGGTAAACAAGGACTGGTCGACTCACTGTCGGTATACTGTGCCTGAGTGGACTATATGAGTGCCCAAATCTTGAACACCCCATCTCACCTCACCTCACCTCACCTCACCTCACCTCACCTCACCTCACCCCATCTCACCTGACCTTACCTTGTGTTGCAGCTGCTGGGAGCAGCGTTTGAGCATAATGCCTTGAATCTTATTCTGTACTACATCAATTTGAAGGAAAACAAAGATGTGCGACTAGCCTTCGAAGCTCTCAAGGTGAGTTGTACGATCAGTCTCAGACTGTGCTGAATCAAAACATAAAATAGATGGGCAAAGTGTAACAGTTTACATATTTATCACATGTTTGTCATGTGTGATTCATTGATGATTTTTGGTTTAATGCACCATTGATGCACATGAGCATTAACGGGCAAAAAAAGTGAAAAAGATTATTGCAATTTTGTTGCAAATTGCAATTTTCCTAGATACATTTAGTCAATTTCTGAGAGAGAAAACTTCATAATATTTGTAGAAAGTATTTGAATGTTCAACCCAAAGAGCTGCAATCAGACGCTCTGTAATCAGCTTCCAAAACAAACCTATTTAGCGGCTTCGCCTAAACCTACCGTCACTGCGGTGACATCTGTTTTCATTGGCTGGTATGTTTGCCGTGTTTATCTATCTTGTGATATATTCCGTACCCAGCTGGTGATAATATCCAATCAGTCTGCAGGCCTAGCTGTCTGTGCTAATTAAGCCATGCCTCCTTGTTAGCGCTTTTAAGATTTGTGTGGGTTGTGACAAAAACAGACCTCAAAATATGTACTTTTAATTAAGCGTAACAGCGCTAACTTTATGTTTTTACACTTTTTTCTCTTGACCATCCTATTATACATCATACTGGCTACATAAATATGTATGTACGGTCTATTAATATATTGCACGACACGTGCACTTTAAGCACCTCCTGATTCGAAATCCCAACTCTGAAAAATAATGACAAACCCTGATCTGAACCCAACTGAACACCTTTGGGATACAGACCCCAAGTTCAAAACCTAAATGAACTGACCCAGGCACTGGTCCAAGAGGATCCCAGTGTTGACAATCGGATGTCTGGCATGTCCAAGGGACGCAACTCTGCACAGCGAATCGCGGCGCCTTAGACGACTGGGCCCCCCGTGCCCCCGTTTCCAACAATGAATCACACCAGTCATTATTTAATGTAGCACATATCAGAAAAAGTGGATGCATGTGATATATACGTGATATAAACATTGCTTGCCTTAGAAACTGTTTGTACAGAAAGAACATCTTGAATATCTTAGCTATGGATACATGCATGCTTGCAGTGACATCATCATGTTTGAACATTCTTGTCAACAACAAAACTATCTCTGGATGAGACTGCTTCAAGCCTGGTCAGCGAGTGCTGAGGATGAGTGTTGTATGTTTTCAGTACCTCGCTACACTGCTCTGTCACAAGAAGTTTGCTATCGAGTTCCTGTCAGTCGGCGGTGTTGGGAAGCTGCTAGAGGTGTATCGGCCGTCCATCGCCGCCACAGGGGTGTCACTCTGTCTGTACTACCTGTCCTACTTCGAGGATGCAATGGAAAGGGTATTACTATGTCGGCGAGGGAGTTTTAGTCATAGTTCAGCCTTGCAGGGGTTAACTTAATATTACACTGTAAGAACGCAACTACCAATGGTTGTAGAAGTAGTGTTATATATATAGGATTCATCACACTGTTTAATAGGGGAAATATCAATCCAGTCTAAGTTAATTGGTATTTGCTGAGCCTGGAGATGAAAATACCTACTAATGGAACGAGATATATTTTCTAAATAAATGCAGCAAGATTATTTGTGACCAAAGTTTTTGAAATCTTGTAGATCTGGGTTGGTTGTTGGTTAATGTCATTCAAAAATACTTGCTGATCTTACAGTGCAATCCATGCTTGAATTAAGTCCTTATGGGTATACAATGTTGCAGTCTTTACTTGATAATGTTGAAATTTTAGAAAGAGAAATTACTTGCTTGTGGAGTGCTTTTTGTTTTTGTAAATATTAATCAAAATTTTTTACTTATCCTGCATTACTCCTTAATGCATTCACTGCTTACTTACGACAACTAGAAGGACAGCCTGCGAAGGTCCTGGGTGAAGAAATAAAGTTGTTGTTCTCAAGTCCCAATCAGTGGCCTTCCGTCGCTGTCCTGTGACCTTGATGACACCTAAGGTCATCTTCACATCACTGCTTGTCGCAGCACAGCTAGGACGTGTCCAAGCGGAGCTCTCCTTTTGGATTAATTTTAGACCTTCAGTTTGTCTACAATCTTAAAAATTGATCTGCGATGGGTGATGTATTCTTTTCATATTACTTTCACCATGTTGTGTAGTTTTATGTGAATTAATTAGGCGTGAAAAGACTCTTGTCTTTTTTCCCGCCAAAATATTGTTGTTCGCCGCCATTTTGAATTGTGTTACAATCGTTTGCCTGCCAAGGTAGTCATATTGTTTACAATTCTCAGCTACGTATGTATAACATATTCTTATGTTTTTAAATACTACTAGCTTTGGCGTAACAGTCATATTGTTTACAATTCTCAGCTACGTATGTATAACATATTCTTATGTTTTTAAATACTACTAGCTTTGGCGTAACAGTGAGTTGCGTATACTAAAATATTGTATACTTTTTCAACTCGATAAAAATATGGTTGCCGATAGATTAATATCAAATCTACGGCTTTCTTCCAGTCCCGCTTCATCAACAATTCTTTTATTGCGTACCTATGTTTATGCGATTAAATAGTTTTTTGTTGGTATTTTTGGTTTAACATTGAGTTGCGTATATGAACTTTGTATACTCTTGCAACTCGTAGTTTTTGCCGATAGATTATTGTTCATTTCTATGGCATTCTTCCAGTACCGCCTCATCAACAATGGCGTAATTGTGTAACTTATGATTGAGCGTGGTACTAATTGTCGTGGGAAAAATCTTACAAAGATTATCATCCACGTTGTTTGGTTTGCGCGCAGATGTGCTCTCCAAACCCTAAATGAAAATATAAATACCCTTGGTTTACATTGAGTTGCGCATACAAAAATATTGTATACCCTTGCAACTCGTAAATTTGCCGATAGATTAGTGTTCAAATTCTTCGGCACTCTTCCAGTATTGTCTCATCAACAAGGGTTTAATTGCGTAACATACCTTTGAGCATTGTACTAATTGTCGTGGAAAAAACCTTACAAAGATTATCATCCACTTTGGTTGGTTTGCGCGCGGATGTGCTCTCCAATCTCTAAATGTAAATAGCCTTGGTTTACATTGAATTGCGTATATAAAGATATTGTATACCCTTGCAATTCGTATTTTTGCCGATAGATTACTGTTCAATTCTAGGGCATTCTTTCAGTACCATTTCTTCAATGGGTTAATTGCGTAACTTATGTTTGCGTGGTGTACATATTGTCGTGGAATAATCGCCCAAAGCTCTTTATCCACGGTCATAGGCATGCACGTAGATGTGCTCGCCAAAATTCAAAATGTAATTTTTGTGTAAATCTCTAATCCAACGAGTTTACTATATAAAAGCAGATTACTCACAATCATATTTTGCAGTTATTCCGTCGTGAGACGAGAGGAATGTCACTATCGCAGAATAGCGAATGACATATGGTTCTGTCATTACCACCCAACCATTATTATCGGCAGGTATTATGACGCCTGTGATTGCAGAAGTACACCATCCACCGAAATCAACAATACCGGAGGATTTTGTGAGTATCGTAACTGCTCCTATTTTTTCAGCCGCCGGACACTTCCAGATACATGTATGATAATCTGTGACGTCGGCGACAGCACCAGCGTATCGAGATGCTATGATGGGGGTAGATTAGACGCAAGCCTTGATCCAGTCAATACTTTTGAGCTTTGTGTCTGATTTATCTGCTCCGAGCGCAGCACTTGACTACAACCCAAGCGCTCCTATCACGCAAGTGACGCACAGTCAGCTTAGCGCTGTTCCAACATATCCAGCATAGACCTGCGCCGAGCGCAGCGTCTGACTGCTACCCAAAGCGCTCCTATTACGCAAACGTCGCACGATCAGCTTAGCGCTGTTCCAACATTCCAGACCTGCGCTGAGCGCAGCGTCTGCGTACCATTCAAGGTCTCTACAATGACGTTAGCCCAAGGCTTACAGTGTACTCGGTTACGTAACCGGCACATGATCAGCTTAGCACATGTACCCGATTGGGAAGCAGACCATCTCGTGTCAGTAACGCCTTCCCCTGATAACAGGGTTAATAAGAGGGACACCACGAGGTCATTAGAGGAAGACTTCTCCAAAACTCACATTTGCTCCGTGATTTAAGCGACCAATATCGTCAATGTTTGCAGTGGATCAGAATCTATTAGAGGATAACCATATCTGATTAGATCACTTCCAAACTATGGTGTTTTTCCTACAGCGTCAGTTTGACCACAGGAAAATTCATCTTGAGACCGTTCTGACGGAGATTACCGTTACACCCAAGACTTTATAGCCATTTCCAACTGAGATGCTGGTTTCAAGGGCAGTCTATTACTTCAACCTTGGTCATCTACTCCCCTGTTCAACGAACAGATCGCAGACACGCACGTCAAGTTCCCAAAAAGCTTGGAAAGTCCAAGCGGGCTGGCAAGTCAGGGAATTATAAGCCTAGACGCGCGTTTCTCAGGGAAGACCAGCATTCCCTTACTGAGAAAGGGAGTGGCAGAGACAAGTCTCAAGGACGATTTCGTACTTATCGCACTATATCATGGTGTCCGTATAAGGGTAGAGATAACCCCACCGTTGACCACAGTTTGATTGGGAAAATCCAACATAGACATACTGTTGGTAAGAAGAGCTGTAGAGTGGGTTCACAACCCAGTCTTTACTCCGGGGTTTTATCCTCACACCTACCTGGTACTCATGAAGGACCCAGACAAGATGAGAATGATCCACAATCTCTGTGTTCAACGAACGTTTGATTCTTCATCAGTCTCGACTATCCATCCCAACCGTAGACTTTTCAGGTCCAGTTCATTGGGGTTCTCTACCAATGGTAGTATTTCCCATTTGACATGTCAGTGACACTTATGGCTATTTACAGGAGTAATGAAGCCAATAACTATCTACACGTGACGAACACTTGGTTCGAGTCGTAGATGGAGGGCGATCTACTGTATCATCAACACATGTCAATAACTGGGATAGACAATCAACGAGGCGAAGTCGGGAGTATTCTCCTTCCCATTGACTTCAGTTCATAGGAGACCTGTTTAAGACAGACCAGGATATCCTATCTGTACCGAGGGACAGATGGCATAAGTTTCTACTTCTTTTGTCATCTACTCTACACCAACCACACACACTTCGCCAGTGGCAAGTGTTGCTAGGGTTAATCACCTCGGCACAGGAGTTAACTAGCATGGGCCGCTTACAACTGCGACCAATTCATTTTTTTCCTGAACCCTTACATCAGGAGTCAGGATCCACTCAAGGCCATCACTCTACCGACTAAGCTAGAGCCTTGCCTCAATTTGTGGCGCTGAATGTCTGCGGAGTCTGTTTATTCGGGTTTTCCCCGAATACACACCTGTTTGTGGACGTCCCCTTTCAGGGGTGGAGTCTTCACTTACAAGACCAGATAAGCTCAGGGCTATGGCCCGGCGCACAATGGAAGTGGCACATAAACAACTTGGAGTTGGAAGCTTTAATTCTGGCTATATCACATTGGCAGAATCAACTACAGTTAGCCCGACTCGCTATATCCACAGACAACAGCACTGCGGTGTGGTGCCTGTGCAATCGGGGAACAACACACTCCCACTCTCCACTTCTAAGGACATTCAGATTTCTTCCATCTAGTGGATCGGCTGTGACTAAGGTTCATAGTTCAGCACATCCCCGGATGTAGAAACATACTGGCCGATACTTTATCACGTCCAGACAGGGTGGCTCCCACCGAGTGGAAATTTCTCACAGAAGCATTCCAGTTACTGCTTCAGGAATTCAGGCAACCAAACACTGACTTGTTTATTACTTGCCTAGGCCACCAACTCATGACGTATATCTCCCCGTTGCCGGATCCGCAGACTTGGGCGGTGGACGAGTTCAGTATCACTTGGGAAGGGCAAAGAACTAACACTCTTCTGCCACCACTTTTACTTTCCAAGGTGCTACAGGGGATCAAGGAGACAAGGTATCTCGATCTCTCCTTTGGTCGCACCCTGGTAACCGGCGAGAGGGTAGTTCGTCAAGCTCGGAAAAATCTAAAACGATTCACTTCCCCTCTCACAGTGGTCCAACCTACTCATCCACCCTCAACAGAAAATTGCCTCACCCAACGTCTGCACGCATGGTTCGTCTTTAAAAGGCGTTTAAGTGCGAAGGGTTATTTCGACACGGGCAGCAAAGCTATAGCTTTAGTTCATCGTTACTCTCCCAGAGACGACGATGACAAGTGGGGATCACTTGAGACTTTTTACAGGGAAGAAAAGAATCAAGACCCTACGATTGCGTCACAATTCCTAGAGGAATACCTCCTACATTGCGTCACAATTCCTAGAGGAATACCTCCTACATTGCGTACCCAAAAACACTTGGAAGGTAGCACCATTACTACGTAATTGGCTGCAATTATCTTAGTGTTGGCCGTTTCCGGAAAATCACAGTGTGATTAAGGTCACGGAACTACAGGCCATATTATGCTCATTCAGGTTTGAGGATCAGAAGGCCAAGTTCCAGCCACCTGATTGGGACTTGAACGTGGTACTTCGAGGTTTGCGAGGGCCCCCTTCGAGCCCCTCATTGCATCCTCATTTTCAAGCTCCTTCCCAGCACGTGACACCTTCGTTACACTCTCGGTATAGTATAGAGAGCTCCGCGAACGTGCTATCGCTGTGAAGAGCTTGGACATCACCAAGGAAACAATGGTTTCTCTTGGCATTAGCAATGGCGGTACGGGTGAGCGAACTACATGTGATCGACTCAACCCGGATCCGTTTTGAGCATGGGACGCACGGAACGGGACATCTAGGGTTATGCTGGGATTTTATTGCTAAAATCTACTACCAGGCCAACCCGACCGTTCCTTCACCATCCCACCGATATCGACTATTGTGGGAATCGTACATGGTGAAGTTCTCCTGGGCTCGGTGCGAGCAGTTCGAGTTTTCATTCGACGCTCCAAGACTAGGCGTGGTTCGTCCACGACAGAAGTTAGTCGCATAATCGCAACACCATATCTCTATGGTTACGCGCAGTAATCCTTCAGGCCTACGAGATCATCAAACGGAACTCGCCGAGAGCGAATTACCCTCAAGATCTCAGCCTTACCAGGGCTCAACACGGCAATTGTGGTTTTGGAATAATCACGGAAGGATATTTCTGGAGATTCGACACATATTTTCGTTAGTCATAACCTTAGCGTTGTGACTCTCGAGGATGTCGAAGACGTTCGAAGTTTGGCCCTCTGGTTGTTATCCTGCAGATTGCCAACCACTGACGCAAATAATGAACTCGCCCTATACAGAGCCAGTCAACTTCCATGTGCAGTCACTCAGTCGCCACCAGTGGAAGAATATTAGACAATCTTGTTTGTCAGCGACGGCTCTATGACGCAGTAAGTAAAGAATTAGCTGAATAGCTATTATTTTCTTTATTACTAAGCGTGTAAAGGGAATTTCTCTTTAATTCCTATGTTCAATCTTTTTGATTTTTGAACAACCCTACCGTAATGGCGTTTTTGTCTGAACTTTTCCGCTTCACGGTTTATCGACCAACTGGTGTCGTATTGCAGGGTGTGAATTATTTGAGGTTTCTGTATTCTGAAGGTTTACCCACCTCCAAACCGTCCGATACAGATGCATTAAGGAGTAATGCAGGATAAGTAAAAAATTTAGTAAAATCTAAATATTTTTTACATTTGTATACTTATCCTGCATTACTACGCTTAAGGCCCACCCGTCGTTAGACTTGCCTCCCCACTTTGGCTTCAGAAACCTCAAAAGTATGTTTTTCTAAGAGCTTGGGCGACAGGCAGTGATGTGAAGATGACCTTAGGTGTCATCAAGGTCACAGGACAGCGACGGAAGGCCACTGATTGGGACTTGAGAACAACAACTTTATTTCTTCACCCAGGACCTTCGCAGGCTGTCCTTCTAGTTGTCGTAAGTAAGCAGTGAATGCATTAAGGAGTAATGCAGGATAAGTATACAAATGTAAAAAATATTTAGATTTTACTAAAATCTACAATAGCCTGTGTCCAGAGCTTCGTTAGCAATGAATATCAAAATATACCTTGTTATATGGTGCATATAGTTCATCTATCTCTGAATCTTTTATGATATTTTGATTCTGTCTATTTTGACTGTTGTGAGTGTGATGTGTTTCATAAACCATAACCTTTCCTTTTCAGGTGTGTTTGTTACCTGAACACATCCTGTCAGATCTTGTTGGGTATGTATTCCTCTACAGTGTGCAATACACACCTGACACACCTCAGTAGGTTTGACCGCCTCCGTGATCTATTGGTAGAGCGTCCGCCCGGAGAGCGCAAGGTCCGGGGTTCGATCCCCGGCCACGTCATACCAAAAGACGTTTAAAGATGGTACTTGTTGTTACCCTGTCTGGCGCTCGGCATTAAGGGGCTAAAACAAGGACTGGTCGGCTCGGAGTCAGTAAACTGTGTCTGAGTGGGGTATTCATGTTAAACTGCGGCATGGTATCTCAGTGAGCTAGCACTATAAATCGGCATCAGTCCGGACTAGTACAAGCAGCCACACAAACACACACACGTACATGCACGTCGCTATATAAGTGCAATAATGTTGGACGCGACGTTCAACCCAATTTCACCTCACCTCACCTCAGTAGGTTTAATGTTAGGGTAATGGATTGTAAGAATATAACTTCATGAGTGCTTCCTCTAGGTGTTCGTGGCACTGGATGTCTCTTGTATTTAGTGTTCAACATCACGGATTGTGGTGCAGAGTACATACATTCCCCATCACCCCATGCTTGTAGAGAAACGTGACTCCATGGGGGACATGTAGCCACAATGGCTGCAGTGTAGGTTACACACAACCAAATGTTTTCCCATAGACTTCTATAGTAACGTTATGATTTTTTTTTAAATAACTAAGCATTCAACAGCTATTACTTGTATGTGTGTGCACAGTTTGGCCTTGGAGCAGCAATAAAAAAAATAAAAATGACTAGCTTAGTCAGCTCCTTTTCCGAGTACCGGAAGCTAAACACACCACCCCCAGTTTCGCACCAAATGTCACCTGCTTGAAAATAGCATAAGTCATCATGTTGAAAAAGACAGTACTAAATATAGAAAAACATGGTCAGTTTTAATAACTGGATGGATGTACATTTGAAAGACATAAAAATCTTACAGAATATGCTCCAATCACAGCCTGCAGATATCTCTCGATCTACACTGAAGGCTCCCTACGAAAACCGCACTGTCCAAACTGGTTCTGATTTGGTGTAGTAGAACCTGTAGGGTTAATACTTGGATGGGTGGCCTCCCAGGGAACCAGTCATTAGCAGCCTTACAAACTCATGCTAGTCCGCTAGCCCAAGATAATACATTGTGCCAAGGTCAAAATCCAAGGTTCCAAATCCAATAATGGTAGTCCTCATTGACTAGTAGCTTCCATTCTGCTACAAATTGGAACTGAATAAAACTGACAGGAAATGTAAACATAGTGAAAGTTTTAATCTTGTTCAAGTAGGACTAGCTACAAACTTTAAGGACTAGTATAATAAGTATTAAACTAGTCCTCTTGACTAGTTTAAACCAGCCCGAATTTCTAAGGCTGCATTGTACAAGGCTTTTGTTATTGCTGAAAGACAGTTCAGATTTTCCTTGTTCTTCTAATTGTTGCTGTGATAATAAAGTGATAATAAAGGCAGCCTTGTCGAACTTGCACAATTATTTTGTGGTGAACATGTAAGTTTGCATGCAGTGGAATAAACAAGAAAGTGTGTTTCAAAGATTGTACATTGTTCTTTTCTAATTGTGTCAATTTGCCATGTGTTTGTCTGTTGGATGGTTACCATGGTTACAGTGTTGATTGTCCTGCTAGGTATGTCATGTGGCTGATGGAGTGTTCCCATGACTCAAGCCGTTGCCATGCTGCCATGTTCTTCACTCAAGCCTTCCCATTCCGAGTCATCATGGAGCTGTTTGACCAGAAGGACGGATTGCGCAGACTCTTCAATGTGGTCAGTAGCTTGTGTCTCCCTGAGTCTCACTGTGATAAGTTACCTACCTGCATAACAGAGGGAATCTCGTTAACTCAAACATCAACTTACCAGTGAAGATCCGGGGTAGAAAAGGTCTGCAGCAACCCATGCTTGCTTTAAAAGGCGACTATGCTTGTCTTAAGAGGCGACTAATGAGATTAGGTGATCAGGCTCGCTGACTTGGTTGATGCATGTCATTGTATTCCAATTGTGTGGAATGATGCTCATGATGTCCATCACTAGATTGTCTGGTCCAGACTTGATTATTTACAGACCGCCGTCATATAGCTGGAGTATTGCTGAAACAACAAATAAACAAACATCAACATGATATGTCTTATGAGACGAGGTAACTTTACCATGTTTACAGTCCTATGTTAACAAGAGGACTTATAATTTTCTTATCGCTAAAATAGCCCAAAGGATTCAGAAAGCTCTTGCAAGTATCCTGAAAACCTCCCAAATCACCTTTTTGACACATTTTGCCTAAAGTATTCATTTTGTGTTGTTATACGTCCCAAACATACAATGTCTGAAAAGTATAAAGTCAAATTCTCATTCATATGAACACATCTGATAACTTCAATAAAGATTTGTAAGGGTTTTGCTCATTGTAATAATTATGTATGGTTCGTGGCCAAGAGGACCCTTGTCATACCTTGTCCTTGCCGGTCCTCACACGATGGTAGAACTTGCAGATCAGCACCCTGGAGATCCTCAATGTGGAGGACGAGGTGGACATCATGAACGAGGGCCACATATTCACGATGAGACAAACGGCGAGGCACGTGTGTTCCGCTCTCAAGAGATACTTCGAGGCCCACCTGGCGGTAAAGGCTGACGAGATCCGGCGATCTCACCTCCGGAATGATGGGAGCAGCTCTCTGCAAGAAACACCTGCTTATAAGGTGAGAAACTCATTCATAGCTTATCATATGAAAGTGGGGCAGTGGGGTAGCGTAGTGGTTAAAGTTAAAGTGGTTAAACGCCGAAGACCGGGGTCCGATTCTCCACATGGGTACAATGTGTGAAGCCCATTTTCCGGTGTCCCCCGTCGTCATATTGCTGGAATATTGCTAAAAGCGGCCTAAAACCATACTCATTCACTCACTCACTCATATGAAAGTGCATTTTAAAATATTTTCTCACACCTCTGACCTGTAGAAATAGGAAGACTTGGCATGAGCAGTAGTCGATTAATGTCCCCACTTTTTATTTTATTTTGTTAAGAGTGAGTGAGTTTGGTTTAACGCCGCTTTTAACAGTATTCCATTGGGGCATGTCAGCTGAATGTGGGAGGAAAGCCCAAAGTGTTGCAGGTCTAAGACGTTTACCACTTCGGTGAAACCCACGAGCAAGAGTATGGTGCTGACAAACCTAGAAACATAATCGGGGCGAACAGGGATTCGAACCCACAATCATAGGTTTCTGGAGTGCCCAATGAACGCAACTCTGCTCAGCGAATTGCGGCGCCTTAGACAACTGGGCCACCCGTGCCCCCTTATTTTGTTAAGAAAAAAAAGTAACATTTACCTTTAAATTTTGGCATTCTTTAATGATACCACTTTTTGCTCATGCTTTAAATTAAGATGGTTAAAATAACATTGCACAAACAAAATATTAGATGTCCTGCTTGTAGGATTTGGTATTAGATATTTCTTCTTTGAAGATATGCTGTCATATAAATTGTTTGATTTAAACATATTTTATTGCGGAAAATCAAATGGATTAGGTACAAGTGACACAGTTACGAGGTCTTCTCCTAATAAATTGTTTTCATAATGTCTTTTTGGTGATTATTTTTTATGTATGGAATGTGGCCAACCATTAACTATGCGAACGTTAGAACCACTGATCAATAATACAGCAAACTTGAATGACAACACTGTATGACAGTGATCAGAGTTCAACCTGGATTGGGAGGGCGGGTGAGATGGCTGAAAATACTAATCAGCCTGTCATGCTGCCTATGTGCTTCCTGCATACAACATAGACAAATTTGAAACTTGGGGTGACTTCCCCTGTCCCACCTAACATCTACAATTCATGCTGGAGTTATCTCCCATTGGTAGACAAAGCTGCTATTGGTCTGGACAGAAACATTAACTTACAAACAATAAAACCACTATAACCATAACAGATCCAAATCCAAAACTTACAGATAAGTTTAAACTTTAATAATGGTTAGATTGTGAATGTCATGTTTTTGACTTGTATTTCAGCCACTCAAGTTGACTCCTGAAGTCATCCAGGATAACATGGAGCTGTTGATGGAGTTGCTTCCCCTGCGCACACACTGGGTGCCTGAAGCCACGTTTCACAGACTAGGGGGAATCCAGCTCCTTATACAACTGGTTGCCATGGCACCTGATTGGAACAACTCTCCTGGGAAGTAAGTTAAAAACATTTTTTTCTTGGTTGGCAGCACCATACACAGATTCATGGATTACGTATGTCTTCCTCGCACTTTGAACTGACACACTGAGACATGACTTAACTACTTTTAAAGCAGCATATAACTCACTCAACATTCTCTCTTGTTACTTGTGTCACCACTTGGGGGGATGCCACTTGATGCCAATTGATTGATCGGGTGGTGACACTCAGTGACTTGCTTGATGGCAAGTCATCATACCCCGACAGTATAGAGGGTTGGGGCGCGAGTTTGAGTGGAGCCACCTCGGGTGAAGTTCTTGATGGTAGTAGCAAATATTCAAACTCAGGATTGTCCGGTCCAGACAGATTTGAGGCCGCCATCATGCAGCTGGAATATTGCTGAGTGCAACAAACAACTTGTTTCATGATGAAGCTGAAGGATGAGTTACTCACAGATGCAATGTTTTACAGACCAGAGACAATCAAGAGTGCCCTGGACGTGATCTCCCTGTGCATGGTGACCCCCAAGTCCCAGCTGCTGCTACTGGACTCCATCTCCCTCCCAGACAACATGTCCACCCCCGCCATCAGGTACGTGCGCGCCCCCGGGCAGCTGGCAAACACTAGTACCTATTACCTGCTGGGAATGACAGGTGCCTAAAATGGGAATTAATAGGTAGTATTCCTTGCTGTCATTGTGACCCTTATGGTAATAGAGAATTTTGTCTGAGTGTCTTTTGAGAGTAAATAGATCAGCACGATTAAAGCAGCTAAACTAACGCTTGCATTGAGGTTTTCTCTACTTTTATCACCAAGTTTTCCTATATTTGATATCAAAGACATGAAGGGTTGATTATGTTTCCTATCCAGTATCATTCTCAATAATTAAGTGCAAAAATAATGATTAATTTGACGACCGTTTTGACATTTGACACCATCTTGAAGTATTAGCATGATAAAGACACATCACCTTGCCAAAATATTTCATACCACTTGTAATTTGTCTAAACTGTTTGCAGCTGAACTATTCTATGTAATGTTACTATATCTATGCCAAATTACCATCTCAACATTGTGTTTACATGTGTGCATACTTTCATCAGGGAAATCAAGTTTTGGTGATTAGCTCACCTGGCTGAAAGTGAAGTGAGGTTATTTTGTTGCACAGTGTCCTTTGTTTGTCGGTGTGTCCAGTCGATGCATCCTCATTACATGGAATGATCCCCCATGGAGTTCACCAGTGGTTGCCATGGGGAGGCGTGTTACCTCTGCATGGTGCCATGGTGGAGCTGTAGTATACTCAATATTCCCTGAGAGTCCAGGTTGGAATAGGTCTCCGACTCACTGACTTGGTTGAATGCATGTTGTTGTACCCCGACAGCATGGGATGTTGATCATGATGTGAATCAACTGGTCCATCTGCTCGAGACTCAGCTGTTTACAGGCCGCTGTAGACCCGTGAAGATTCCGGGGTAGAAAAGATCTCCAGCAACCCATGCTTGCCGTAAAAGGCGACTATGCTTGTTGTAAAAGGCGACTAACGGGATCGGGTGGTCAGGCTCGCTGACTTGGTTGATGCATGTCATCGATCCCAATTGTGTGGATCGACGCTCATGATATTAATCACTGGATTGTCTGGTCCAGACTTGATTTTTTACAGACCGCCGTCATATAGCTGGAATATTGCTTAGTGCGGCGTTAAACAACAAACCAACCAACCAACAGGCCACTGTACATGACAAGGTGATACAGTATATGAACTGTCTGACTAGTTCACTAACATATGGCTACCATGGTGATTCCCTTCAACTCACAAGACCCATGACAAGGCACAAAATATTGGGTAACCATGATAGTGCCTCCTCCAAATATTCAAAGAGGAGTCAGTGAAGATTCTGTGGATAAGACATAAATGACCCTTCTGTAGCAATCTCATTTAACAAGACAGTATGACGTAAGTTTGCCTTGACAAGATGTGGCACCTGTGAATACGTCATTAGGTTTGGCACAAGCATCAACTGTCGCCAAGAAACAATGTCGCCCTGATGGAGGTTTCAGACATGCTTGAACTTCATTGCTGACACGCAGAAACAAATGTAGAATTATTTTTATCAAGTGATAAACCAAATGATATGGGATTATGTCGTTTACATTCAGTAATAACTATAGTAACAACTAAGGTGAACTATTTATGCAGCACTTCGCTACAAAAGTGTGTTGGTAGGTTTATCAAAGCCACTTATGAAGAGCGCTTGTACTGTTTATTTGGTTGATTCCTCTTACGAATATGATTACACGTCGGGTTAGAAGTGCAATATAGGCAAACTTAAATCTAATTTCAAAGTAACGTCTCTTATGAAATATTTGAAGTTTGGCCAAATTGGCAATAATTTAATAGGGACGTAAGTCCTGTTAGATTACAGTGAGTGTAATATACTAACACTTTGGCATAAAACCAATTCCCCAACTCAGACAGCTGCTTCTTGGCCTGGACCCCGCCTCTCTACACAACAACAAGATAACGCCAGCTGTAAGGTATGTGGCGCCATCGGAACAACACCAACTCCGACTTCAGCACTGTTCAAATGGAATAATCTGTCAATCCTCGAAGATGACAGACTACCCCTGATTTGCATCAGTCTGATGATTTGAAAACCTTCTGTTATGTTCCTGGACCCTGAAACATTTCTCAGCCAGTGCTACGCCTTGATAGCTCAATACAAATAAAATGGTTACCTTGGTGACTGAAAAGGTTTGAGTCTGAGACTGACTGGGTAGGATCATGGGCTGTATTTCAAACACTGTCTTTGAATGTTTGTAGGTCCATTTTAAGCGGATGTAAGATTTGTTAATAAAAAAAAGAAATTGGTTTGTTGTGTCTTTTGTTGAGTTGCCATAGTTAATTGTGTTCTAGTTTCACTTTGATTTGGTGATGAACCTACAGTGTTTTCAATGAAGAGGTATGTCATTAGTAGTGGGATGATAATCGGTCTGTTGGGAATTTTTACTTGGTTCAAGTATCGATCACAATCGCACACAAAGTAAAATGTTTTCATTCTTAACTTAGATGTATTCTTTAATAAATGTTACACCAAACACTAATTACTAGTGAAAATGAGTAGTGAAAACGTTAATTTTTCGTTGCGCCATACCTGGCACTGCCAACTGTAAATCATAAGTGTGCCAGGTATTTGGCCATCCTGTCTATGAAAAACATGGCTTACGCACCACAGATAAGAGCCCATGCCAGTAGTGTGATATGTATCAGATCGTGAGCCAGGTAACGTGATACGTATCAGATCGTGAGCCAGGTAACGTGATACGTATCAGATCGTGAGCCAGGTAACGTGATATGTATCAGATCTTGAGCCAGGTAACGTGATACGTATCAGATCGTGAGCCAGGTAACGTGATATGTATCAGATCGTGAGCCAGGTAACGTGATATGTATCAGATCGTGAGCCAGGTAACGTGATATGTATCAGATCGTGAGCCAGGTAACGTGATATGTATCAGATCGTGAGCCAGGTAACGTGATATGTATCGAGCGCACCGTTGGTGGATCGTCACAGGCCTCTATGTCATAGATTTGAGTGTGCTAAATTGTAAAACTAAATGGGCCCAACTAAATGCATAATGTGAGGTTTTGAATCTTAAATTTGATAATAAGGTCCATAGTGGATGTAGCTCTTCATTGACAACACAGTATATTTATCTCCATTCTGCCATGACAAATTCAAAGATGAACTCTTTGGTGTTAATACAGATATGAGATAATCCATCATCACTTTAAGAAAAGTTTGTTGCTGTGTGCACAGTATATACTCATACACTGTTTCCTGCAGCAATGTTTTTTGCTTTCACAGAGTATGACATCATACTAATTTAAGCTCTTTGGCATCCTTCATTACCTGTATTACACTCTTAAGATCACTATCCAGTGTCCTCTCAAAACTTATTGCTGCCTCTGTGAATCAGAAGCATGTTATAACGATATGAAATCCTTTTTGGGATGTGAGTACCATTTTCGACGTAATAAGCGCCGAGGGCGCTCTCAAAATTAGGAATAGGGGGCTCTTATTAGAATATTATTTGGAGTTAAAAGATAAATTTCGTGGTTTATGCTGACAGCCTGAAATGTTTATGTACGACAGATATATTTTTCCAGAATTAAATTGTCCATAATTAAGGGTGCTAAAATAAATATAAGCCTTTTGTACATTGAACAGTTGGAAGGGGTGCTAATTGGGATTGTTCACTTGCCAATATATCAGCAAATATCGTCGTGGGCGCTTATTGGAGCGGGGCGCTTATTACGTCAAATACGGTATTCCCCAAAGTCATGGTAAAATATTAATTTAAAGTATGCATAGTTGTCCTGAGTTTTTTGGTTTGGAAGTTATGTTGTTATTAGTTAATGTTTGTTATTCACAACATGCTTGATATAATCAATAGCTAGTATGGTAATATGCTTACAGTTATATCTCAGCTAACTTGATGAATGAACTTAATCAAGCCAGACAAGTGTCTAACCATACCAGTGTACCACAGTTCACATGATTGAAATTGCAAGTTAAGGACAAAAGCAAATTAGCAAACATCCTGGAGACAATGTAATTGTACTTGGAAGTGTCTTGGCAGTTACTCGGGTATTTGTCAATATTCTGTAGATAATCGTCTCATCAGCATTTTCTGTTTGCAGTGTAATCATTGGTCTAGCAGAGGGCGAGATTCTTGCCGATCCCGAAGTCCAGAAGTCTGCGCTAGGAGTGCTGGTCAACTGTGTGTGTGGACCAATAGAGAGGGTGAGTTACCATTGTAACTGTACCAGGAGCCTTCAGTTACCTTGTGAGGAGAAGAACACATTTCTGTCAATTATTGAATTCACTGTTGGCATGGGTGAAGTTTGTTTTTGCATGTCAAACCAAGGTCTGCATCTTTTTCATTCAAATGCAGTGTTAGAAACCAAGGGAATCCTTGAAGTTTGCTGCCATAACCTGGATGGTATTTACAGTGTCCACTTTTAATGTTAGCCTTATGAAAAGGACAGCTGGACTTTCATGCTTAACCTTGAGAACCTAATTTGATCCTCTTTTTGGTTCTTAATAATACTCTTGGTGAGCATTAGATGATTACTATGGAGCATTACAATTTATCATGATAATGCTCTGTCCACTTGATGCAAACTTTCCTTTCATTTTTCTGCATCTGTATGAATTCATAGACAACATGACCCGTGAAGATTCCGGGGTAGAATAGGTCTTCAGCAACCCATGCTTGTCGTAAGAGGCGACTAACGGGATCAGGTGGTCAGGCTTGCTGACTTGGTTGATGCATGTCATCGATCCCAATTCCGTGGATTGATGCTTCTGATATTAATCACTGAATTGTCTGGTCCAGACTCGATTATTTACACACTGCCGTCATATAGCTGAAATATTGTTGAGTGCAGCTTCAAACAACAAACAAACAAACAAATCATAGACAACATTCTTCTGGCTTTAGGTGTCTCATCTGTGGTTGTCATTTTCAATGTCTTGACATGTGGCACCAGGCAACTGATACTATGTATGCCTGACCTCCACATGCGTAATTCACACAGCCTTGAAAACACCTCCATATTGACAGTCCAGTTTTACATTTGGATCTTCATTGAAATAGTCTTTAAATTCCACAAAATGTCTTGAAAAGGGCTTGAATATAAGGGCTGTTACTTAAGTATAATGGACTTGACATTATGTAATAATATATTAGTAGGCCCTATTTTGTACGCCATGCTATGTTGAAACAAAACAAACTACTCAAACTTTGTAGCCTTAAATCTGTACTAGGGCCGCGTGACCTGCAGTTCCTGAAGTAAACAACAACATAGATTAGACAGTTATTCAGTTGATGAACTGTATATTGAACATTAGGGTACGTTATGGTACTTTAATTCTGAAAGTGAAATTCTGAAATGAAATAAGAATGTCCTAATAAATGTTTGGAAGCACACATGGGTTTTTCATTTAGCCTTGGAAAGTGTGATCATGTCTTGAAAAGGCCTTGTTTTTGATGGCTCATCATGCTTCCACTGCAGCTTGGTGGAGGTGTTGGGAGGTTCATGGGTGCTGGGTCGAAGAAGAAGGTCAACTGGAAGATTGGCGAGGACACGATGAGTCGGATGTGGAATGGTGTGCGCACCAACAATGGTATAATGGTGAGTATCAGCGGATGAGTGTGTGATGACGTCTGCCTTGATGAGTGTGAGATGTCTGCCCTGATGAGTGTGTGATGATGTCTGCCTTGATGAGTGTGTGATGACGTCTGCTCTGATGAGTGTGTGATGACGTCTGCCTTGATGAGTATGTGATCACGTCTGCCTTGATGAGTGTGTGATTATGTCTGCCCTGATGAGTGTGTGATGATGTCTGCCCTGGTGAGTGTGTGATGATGTCTGCCCTGATAAGTGTGTAATGATGTCTGCCCTGATGAGTGTGTGATGACGTCTGCCCTGATGAGTGTGTGATGATGTGTGCCCTGATGAGTGTGATGACATCTGCCCTGATGAGTGTGATGACGTCTGTCCTGATGAGTGTGTGATGACGTCTGCCCTGATGACTGTGTGATGATGTCTGCCCTGATGACTGTGTAATGATGTCTGCCCTGATGAGTGTGTGATGATGTCTGCCCTGATGACTGTGTAATGATGTCTGCTCTGATGAGTGGGTGATGATGTCTGTCCTGATGACTGTGTAATGATGTCTGCCCTGATGAGTGGGTGATGATGTCTGCCCTGATGAGTGTGTGATGATGTCTGCCCTGATGACTGTGTAATGATGTCTGCTCTGATGAGTGGGTGATGATGTCTGTCCTGATGAGTGGGTGATGACGTCTGCCCTGATGAGTGGGTGATGATGTCTGTCCTGATGAGTGTGTGATGATGTCTGCCCTGATGCCTGTGTAATGACGTCTGCTCTGATGAGTGTGTGATGACGTCTGCCCTGATGAGTGTGTGATGACGTCTGCCCTGATAAGTGTGATGATGTTGCAGGTGTTGCTGAAGCTGCTGACCATCAAGACGCCCATCACAGATGCAGATGCTATCCGAGCCTTGGCTTGCAGGGTAGGTGGTACTAACTGGACCATTTTATTGCCCGTGTCAAAACTTCACAGGTTTTCAACACTACAATCTCCTCTGTTACCCATGAATACATACAGCTGCTATGTGATGTTGTCACTATTTCTAACCAGTGAATCGAGCAATGGCCTGGTTCCAGTTGAAGGGAAACAAACAAGTGCTCCTTAGTAAGCACCTCACAAACTGCAATGTTTCACGCTTGACGATGTGTGCAGCATGTGCCATAGCCCTGTGGTATCTGTTCTACACATTGCTTTTTAGGCAGGCAATTGTCATGCATGGAGTTTCATTTCACTGACACGAGTTCGAAAAAACATGATATTTTTTTTTACCTTTATAGCTTACTCAGACCAGCCAAACATCAGTTACTCAGTACTCCACTGTATAGTGAGTGACAGGACACTGTACACAAAGTCATTAATGTCTACGATGTTTCTTTGCATGAGCTCCAAACCCACCAGAGTTAATGTTTCTACATATGTCAATAATCGTTATCATTTGCAAGTAATCTGTCTCGCATGGTGATACTTGTTAAGAGTAGGTCCCGATTGTCTCATTCTCGTAAATGCTCACAAATTTGAGGATCAGTTGGTCAGGCTCTGTGATTGGGTGATCAGTGTGTCACCTTGCCCTGATGGTATTGGAGGTTGCTCATGCTATCAACCACTGTTTTGCCTAAACAAAACTCATTTATAAACATGTTGGACTATTGGTCACTGTGATGAAGACTTACAAATATACAAATGATGGGTATCATTTTGTGGAAATCGTAGTGATCATTATTGGTCTAAATAAGATTGATTTATTTACTCTACAATGTTTACATACTTGGTAACCTTGCTCTGATTACTGCCAGCTCATGTTTGGCATCCTGGGTTTAGCATGTTTAGACTAATGTGTGAACTTCCATCTTTCCAGGCTCTTGTTGGGTTGTCCAGATCTGAAACAGTTCGTCAGATTATCAGCAAACTTCCTCTCTTCCAAAATGGAACTCTTCAATGTAAGTTGTCTCTATTGACAGGTGCCCCATGTCAGGAAGCTACTGGAAGGATACAGTATGCCACCCCCCTCAAACTGGATATAGGTGAAAAATTGCTAAACGTGTCATAATACATCACTTACACGCTCACAATCTCTGAATCTCGGACAATTCAATTGTCTGCTGCTGTATGATAGTTCTATTTTGAAAGGGATCTTTTGGTTGTTCTCCTTCAAGGTACAGAGAAGGAAGGCTATGAACCAGTATAGTTATTGGTGACATATTGCTGTGCATCCCCGAGGCAAAGGTGTTAACCGATTACAAAAGTCCAGTTTCCACCCTTGTCGATGTACGCTGGAATTTCTAGGCTTGATTGTAGTGCCACCAGTCGCCATAACAAGTTATGTCCCTTCTTTGTGTCTCCTTCTGACCAGTCAGATTCCACCTCTCACATCACTTGCATTTGCTTCAAACAAAATGACGGCGCCCAGTCAAGACAATCTGATTGATAATCAATATCTATATTGTAATAAAACAGGTATTACTTCGGGAAGTGCATCAAATCATCTGAGCACTTTGGTTAAAAACATGAAAAGATATGGAAAATATCTGTCGACACCCGGTGGACAGTACACATGCTTTGCAAATCCTACAGTTGATCGAAATCTGTATATTGAAATCCATGTTGTTCACGAACCAGATGTCTAGTTGGTTACGCAATTTTGATTTGACTATGCATAGGCTCGTTAATCCTGCCAAAATGTGACTCCATTTGTAAATCCATGTACAGCATTCAAGCAAATGTGCATAATGGATTTTACTCTTAAGAACACTATAAACGTAAAAACATGTTGAAGTCAATTCTTACAAATAAATATGTCAGCAATGATAACTTCAAACATTGCTTAGCCATTAACACACAAAAAATGTAGACAACAATAGAAATCAGTTACACCGTTTATTGCAGTTATGCAACACAAGCCCCATCCATGCTATTTTCAGCCAACCAGGAAACAGTAGTCCGTTTGTGGTCGTGGCCTAATTGTTTTGGTTTCATGGAAACATAAACACAAAATAAATTGCTTGGTTAGCCAATCCGATGCCTTGGAAGTACCACTGAAGGGGTACGGTGTAATTTTCTTCTGCGCATAATATTCAAATTATTTTTTTTTCATCCGTTAGAGGGGGTTGCGCACTATACTCAAGAAAATACGGTACTTGTAAATTGTTTATTTAGCATAGACATGACTACTTCATGGCTTGTGTCTCTGCCACCAGCTCTGATGAAGGAACCCGTTCTCCAGGACAAGAGACAAGAACATATCAAGTTCTGCCGGTACGCCAGTGATCTCCTGGAACGTGTATCCGGCAAGCGTTCCAACACACTTGATGCTTCTCTTGAAGACATCAGAAAGGTTAGTCCCTACTTAGGGATTCCAGGAATGAATTGGTCCTCAGTGAGCTTGTTATAAGAATATTCCAGCTGTATGGCAGTGATCTGTAAATAATCAAGTTTGTACCAGACAATCCAGTGATTGACAGAATGAGCATTGATCCTTTGAATTAACATGGATACCCCACTCAGACACAGTATACTGACTCCAACCCAACCAGTCCTTGTTTTAGCCCTTAATGCTGAGCACCAGGCAGGGTAACAACAACTGACCTTCTGCTCTCTCCACGAGACGTTCTCATCAGTGTTTGAAATATGAAAAATTCTCCGGCTGCCATCAGGCCCCACAGACTTAATAAGCATCAGGACCTCACTCACTCACTTCAGGCCCCAATTTAAGAAACTGCAGCTTACTGTGGTAAATAAATTGACGTGTTAATTTACTGCAAGCCCATACACATTTATAACTACAGGTCCAACACAAAATTCACCTGCCACGGGCCAACAGGCAGGATTTTATTTCGTACAATGGTTCTCAGGCTGAGTTACAGTTTGCATGTCACAGTGCCCGATGATGTGGAGACGTTCCTCTTGCTCTCCATCATACTTACAGGTTGCCATAATACAGGTGTAATATTGGTGACTGTTGAGTTGAACAATATTCACTCCTTCTTGTCACCAGCTTTATTATCAGCTTTTTCAACGAGGAATGAAAAGTGTCAATTTGAACTTATTCAAACTATATTTGTTTCTGTGCTAAGCATCACGTTTTGTTTCCAGGCAGACATTGTGGCCCAGACTAAGATAATCTTCCATGAGCGGGAGCTGCTGCAGTTAATACATGATCATCTGTTGGCTAAAGGTGATGTTTCTTTGATTTGTTTATCCTGTCCAGCATAGACTCGTCATATGATTTCAAATAAAGGGAAAGGGAAAAAAACTTTTGGCAAAGTGAACATACATTCTTATTTCCCAAGCTGAAGGATGTGGGCAAAATGTGTATGTGTGAATGCTATCTATTTCTTTAGTAAGGCACGTCACATTTTTACAGTTGCAATCACCATTAATACTTGCGATATTGTGTAAACAGCACAAAACAATTTCAACACACACTTGTGAACAAGAATACTCAACATTGTGAAGATTCAAGAATTTTATTTTGTGACATAAGATTCAGATCTGTGTGTGCATAATGTGTTGACCTGACCATTCTGCCGTTTGATAAAATAATTTTGGATTCACTTCCTATAGAAACTTGCATGCAGTTGTTGGTGTTACAGGTTTCTTGGATGCAGCATCGAGCCTGCAGAAACAAGCCAGTCTGCCACACTGTTCCACCCCGCCACTGGTGATCCCGACCAGCACCCACATCTTCTCCTCACCATCCACACCCAGACTCGTAAGTCACCGCCACTCAGGAGTGGGAATGGGGGGGCAGTCTTATGTTTGTATGTCAGCAAGTAAGCTGTACACATCCTAAGTAAAGGCTTATTGTCCTCATCCACTGTTATTTGCTGAAATCTTTTCCCATCTTTGTGTGTCTAATCTGTCATGACCTGCCTTGCTTCTCAATGTCACAAATTGATCCATTCTGATGTGAAGACAGATCCTGTTTGTTTGGTTCTGACAGTAAAGTGTCTTATCCTACTGTCATGAATGGCTAATTCCTGCCGATGGACCAGCTAAATGTTTTGAATTTCTGGAGGGTGCTAATGTTGAGATGAATAACATGTCGAGAGGAGTGTCATGATGTATCCGTTCTGTCTCCCATCTGATGTATCATGATGTATCCGTTCTGTCTCCCATCTGATGTATCATAATCAATGTATTCGTTCTGTGACTCCCATCTGATGTATCATAATGTATTCGTTCTGTGACTTCCATCTGATGTATCATAATGTATCCGTTCGTTGACTCCCATCTAATGTATCATGATGTATCCGTTCTGTCTCCCTTCTGATGTATCATGATGTATCCGTTCTGTCTCCCATCTGATGTATCATGATGTATCCGTTCTGTCTCCCATCTGATGTATCATGATGTATCCATTCAGTCTCCCAACTGATGTATCATGATGTATCCGTTCTGTCTCCCATCTGATGTATCCATTCTGTCTCCCATCTGATTTATCATGATGTATCCGTTCTGTCTCCCATCTGATGTATCATGATGTATCTGTTCTGTGATGCCGATCTGATGTATCATTATGTGACCATTCTGTGATGCCCATCTGATGTATCATGATGTATCTGTTCTGTGATGCCCATCTGATGTATCATGATGTATCCATTCTGTGACTCCCATCTGATGTATCATGATGTATCCATTCTGTGACTCCCATCTGATGTATCATTATGTATCTATTCTGTGATGCCCATCTGATGTATCATGATGTATCTGTTCTGTGACTCCCATCTGATGTATCATGATGCATCCGTTCTGTGATGCCAATCTGATGTATCATGTATCCATTCTGTGACTCCCATCTGATGTATCATGATGCATCCGTTCTGTGATGCCCATCTGATGTATCATGATGTATCCATTCTGTGACGCCCATCTGATGTATCATGATGTATCCATTCTGCGACGCCCATCTGATGTATCATGATGTATCGGTTCTGTCTCCCTTCTGATGTATCATGATGTATCCGTTCTGTCTCCCATCTGATGTATCATGATGTATCCATTCTGTGACGCCCATCTGATGTATCATGATGTATCCATTCTGTGACGCCCATCTGATGTATCATTATGTATCCATTCTGTGACGCCCATCTGATGTACAAATATGTATCCATTCTGTGATGCCCATCTGATGTATCATGATGTATCCATTCTGTGATGCCCATCTGATGTATCATGATGTATCCATTCTGTGACTCCCATCTGATGTACAAATATGTATCCATTCTGTGACGCCCATCTGATGTATCATTATGTATTTGTTCTGTGACGCCCATCTGATATATCATAATGTATCTATTCTGTGACTCCCATCTGATGTATCATGATGAAACTGTTCTGTGATGCCCATCTGATGTATCATTATGTATCCATTCTGTGACTCCCATCTGATGTATCATGATGTATCTATTCTGTGAAGCCCATCTGATGTATCATGATGTATCTGTTCTGTGACTCCCATTTGATGTATCATGATGCATCCGTTCTGTGATGCCCATCTGATGTATCATGTATCCATTCTGTGAGGCCCATCTGATGTATCATGTATCCATTCTGTAAGGCCCATCTGATGTATCCTGATGTATCCATTCTGTGACTCCCATCTGATGTATCATGATGCATCCGTTCTGTGATGCCCATCTGATGTATCATGTATCCATTCTGTGAGGCCCATCTGATGTATCATGTATCCATTCTGTAAGGCCCATCTGATGTATCCTGATGTATCCGTTCTGTGACTCCCATCTGATGTATCATGATGTATCCGTTCTGTAAAGCCCATCTGATGTATCATGATGCATCCGTTCTGTGATGCCCATCTGATGTATCATATATCCATTCTGTGACTCCCATCTGATGTATCATGATGCATCCGTTCTGTGATGCCCATCTGATGTATCATGATGTATCTGTTCTGTGATGCCCATCTGATGTATCATGATGTATCCATTCTGTGACTCCCATCTGATGTATCATGATGTATCCATTCTGTGACTCCCATCTGATGTATCATTATGTATCTATTCTGTGATGCCCATCTGATGTATCATGATGTATCCGTTCTGTAAAGCCCATCTGATGTATCATGATGCATCCGTTCTGTGATGCCAATCTGATGTATCATGTATCCATTCTGTGACTCCCATCTGATGTATCATGATGCATCCGTTCTGTGATGCCCATCTGATGTATCATGATGTATCCATTCTGTGACGCCCATCTGATGTATCATGATGTATCCATTCTGTGACTCCCATCTGATGTATCATTATGTATCTATTCTGTGATGCCCATCTGATGTATCATGATGTATCTGTTCTGTGACTCCCATCTGATGTATCATGATGCATCCGTTCTGTGATGCCAATCTGATGTATCATGTATCCATTCTGTGACTCCCATCTGATGTATCATGATGCATCCGTTCTGTGATGCCCATCTGATGTATCTTGATGTATCCATTCTGTGACGCCCATCTGATGTATCATGATGTATCCATTCTGTGACGCCCATCTGATGTATCATGATGTATCGGTTCTGTCTCCCTTCTGATGTATCATGATGTATCCGTTCTGTCTCCCATCTGATGTATCATGATGTATCCATTCTGTGACGCCCATCTGATGTATCATGATGTATCCATTCTGTGACGCCCATCTGATGTATCATTATGTATCCATTCTGTGACGCCCATCTGATGTACAAATATGTATCCATTCTGTGATGCCCATCTGATGTATCATGATGTATCCATTCTGTGACGCCCATCTGATGTATCATGATGTATCCATTCTGTGACTCCCATCTGATGTACAAATATGTATCCATTCTGTGACGCCCATCTGATGTATCATAATGTATCTATTCTGTGACTCCCATCTGATGTATCATGATGAAACTGTTCTGTGATGCCCATCTGATGTATCATTATGTATCCATTCTGTGACTCCCATCTGATGTATCATGATGTATCTATTCTGTGAAGCCCATCTAATGTATCATGATGTATCTGTTCTGTGACTCCCATTTGATGTATCATGATGCATCCGTTCTGTGATGCCCATCTGATGTATCATGTATCCATTCTGTGAGGCCCATCTGATGTATCATGTATCCATTCTGTAAGGCCCATCTGATGTATCCTGATGTATCCATTCTGTGACTCCCATCTGATGTATCATGATGCATCCGTTCTGTGATGCCCATCTGATGTATCATGTATCCATTCTGTGAGGCCCATCTGATGTATCATGTATCCATTCTGTAAGGCCCATCTGATGTATCCTGATGTATCCGTTCTGTGACTCCCATCTGATGTATCATGATGCATCCGTTCTGTGATGCCCATCTGATGTATCATGTATCCATTCTGTGAGGCCCATCTGATGTATCCTGATGTATCCATTCTGTGACACCCATCTGATGTATCATGATGTATCCATTCTGTGACTCCCATCTGATGTATCATTATGTATCCATTCTGTGATGCCCATCTGATGTATCCTGATGTATCTGTTCTGTGACTCCCATCTGATGTATCATGATGTATCCGTTCTGTAAAGCCCATCTGATGTATCATGATGTATCTGTTCTGTGACTCCCATCTGATGTATCCTGATGTATCTGTTCTGTGACTCCCATCTGATGTATCCTGATGTATCTGTTCTGTGACTCCCATTTGATGTATCATGATGTATCTGTTCTGTGACTCCCATCTGATGTATCATGATGTATCTGTTCTGTGACTCCCATCTGATGTATCATGATGTATCCGTTCTGTAAAGCCCATCTGATGTATCATGATGCATCCGTTCTGTGATGCCCATCTGATGTATCATATATCCATTCTGTGACTCCCATCTGATGTATCATGATGCATCCGTTCTGTGATGCCCATCTGATGTATCATGATGTATCCATTCTGTGACTCCCATCTGATGTATCATGATGTTTCCATTCTGTGACTCCCATCTGATGTATCATTATGTATCTATTCTGTGATGCCCATCTGATGTATCATGATGTATCTGTTCTGTGACTCCCATCTGATGTATCATGATGTATCCGTTCTGTAAAGCCCATCTGATGTATCATGATGCATCCGTTCTGTGATGCCCATCTGATGTATCATATATCCATTCTGTGACTCCCATCTGATGTATCATGATGCATCCGTTCTGTGATGCCCATCTGATGTATCATGATGTATCCATTCTGTGACTCCCATCTGATGTATCATGATGTATCCATTCTGTGACTCCCATCTGATGTATCATTATGTATCTATTCTGTGATGCCCATCTGATGTATCATGATGTATCTGTTCTGTGACTCCCATCTGATGTATCATGATGCATCCGTTCTGTGATGCCAATCTGATGTATCATGTATCCATTCTGTGACTCCCATCTGATGTATCATGATGCATCCGTTCTGTGATGCCCATCTGATGTATCATGATGTATCCATTCTGTGACACCCATCTGATGTATCCTGATGTATCTGTTCTGTGACTCCCATCTGATGTATCATGATGTATCCGTTCTGTAAAGCCCATCTGATGTATCATGATGTATCTGTTCTGTGACTCCCATCTGATGTATCATGATGCATCCGTTCTGTGATGCCCATCTGATGTATCATGTATCCATTCTGTGACTCCCATCTGATGTATCATGATGCATCCGTTCTGTGATGCCCATCTGATGTATCATGATGTATCCATTCTGTGACTCCCATCTGATGTATCTATTCTGTGATGCCCATCTGATGTATCATGATGTATCTGTTCTGTGACTCCCATCTGATGTATCATGATGCATCCGTTCTGTGATGCCCATCTGATGTATCATGTATCCATTCTGTGACTCCCATCTGATGTATCATGATGCATCCGTTCTGTGATGCCCATCTGATGTATCATGATGTATCCATTCTGTGACTCCCATCTGATGTATCATGATGCATCCGTTCTGTGATGCCCATCTGATGTATCATGTATTCATTCTGTGACTCCCATCTGATGTATCATGATGCATCCGTTCTGTGATGCCCATCTGATGTATCATGTATCCATTCTGTGAGGCCCATCTGATGTATCCTGATGTATCCATTCTGTGACACCCATCTGATGTATCATGATGTATCCATTCTGTGACTCCCATCTGATGTATCATTATGTATCCATTCTGTGACCCCATCTGATGTATCATGTATCCATTCTGTGACGCCCATCTAATGTATCATGATGTATCTTTCTACTTTCAGTCTCGTCAACTAAGTCAGACTCATTCCGCCCACAGCCTGGGGTCCACGACTCCCACAGCATCTAGTCACAGTCTGACGTCTATACGAGACAGTCCCCCCACAGCCCCCACGCCCACCACATCCAGTCCCGGGCCCATCCGCTTCTCACTCACACGGCAACCACCAACTCCGTCTACATCAGCAGCATCAGCATCTACGCACAGGGTGAGTTTTGCCTTGTGGAAATTCCAGGGCCCACTGACATCAGGCTTGCCTCAACACATGACTAGGAAGCATATTCCGCATGTTCAGTGGACACAATGGCTGATAGGTAGGGCTGGGGCAGGTACTCGGGTACTTCGGTTGGGTGGGACCTGGCTACCCACAGGACTACCCATAACCATGGTTAGTCACATGATACATTGTTTAAAGACAAAACTTATGTAGAACTCCATGAATACACTACAGGTCATGAATGTTCACTTTTCTTCCTGACAATGCTCGCAATACTTCTGACATATTTTTTTCAATAAAGATAAAGCTTCAGTCAACTTCAATTATGCATGACCAGATCATTTTATATGTGTATCTAAATACATTTTGCACGGGCTCTGGTCAAACAATTCCTTGTCGGACATTTTGTACAAATCTCTTGAGATCTACAGCAGGTAGCCGGGTAGGGTCGGGTAATAGGGGGTTGGGTACCCGGGTAGTAAATTTGGGCTCGTCCCAGCCCTAGTGATAGGCATGGACAATCTGTGAATTTTATTATTAGACTGACCCCTAAGTTAGGCGAAGTTTGTTTCAGGCAAGTAATATTATCCTGATAATAGTTAATCATCTTCCCAAGGCAAGGAAGTTAACTGACTGTAAAAGTCCAGTTTCCACCCTTGCCAAACTAGGCTGCAATTATGGAGTTACATTTTGGCTGGACTAGCCAGTTTATACATAGTCCAATCAAAATTGTGTAACGACATCGACGTCGTGGTGTAAACAACATGGATTTCAACATGCAGATTTCGGTTGACCGTAGGATTTGCAAAGCATGTACACCGTCAACCGGGCATCAACAGATATTTTCCAATCACATGATTTGATGCATTTCGCAAGGGAAGACCCGTTTTATTACAGTGTATATCGTCATCATCGATCAGATCGTCTTGACTGGGTGCTGCCATTTTGTTTGAAGCAAATGCAAGTGATATGAGAGAGGGAATCTAATTGGTCAATAAGAAGGGCATAGAAGGGACATCACTCGTAATAGCCACTGGTGCCACAATCAAGCCCAGAAATTCCAGCCTAGTTCGGCAAGGGTGGAAACTGGACTTTTAAGAGTCAGTTCACTTTCTTGCCTTGGGAAGATGATAGTCAATATGTTGCAACTAAAATCTATTGAAAATTATCAAACACGTTGGAATAGTTTATCTTGGGCAGAAAACAGTATAGTTAGATCTCTGATGGGTGAATACTTTTGATAAAAACTCTCAGAATCAAAACCAAACACTGTCAATGAGTGATTTTTATGATATCGAGCAAACCCTTTCATCGTCATATTGTTTTCTGGGAAACATTCTGGATTAACATTTTGTCTTGTTAATGCCTATGAAGTGTATTGCTTAAGTTGTGTATGGATCTTCTTGACAGTGATCTGCCAGAAAGAGGGGATTCTGCATTACTGCTCTCAGTAATATTCCAGCTCCATAGAGCATCCTATAACCTGGACCAGACAATCCAGTGATTCACACCACCAAGTCACTAAATCTGACCACCCCAGTACATTTAGCATGTTTAGTTGCCTCTTGTGACAAGCATAGGTTGCTGGGGACTATATTTTGACCTGAAGTCCACACATCTTACCAGTATCTGTCAGTCATTGTGTTTTCATATTGCAGATTGCAAAGACCAGCAAGTTTCTTCGAGAGAAGGACAGCCAGACACCCAGTTCTGTTCGGTTAAAAACGTCCAGCAAGACGGGGGGAGAGTATGACATCTCTCTCAACAAGATTGTCACAGAATACCTCAGGAAACAGCATGCACTGTGTCGGAACCCGGTTGTCACATGTCCCCCCATGTCCTTGTTCATGTGAGTCTTGACTTGTTCTTGTGATCAATCAGTTACCATAGGCTGATAAGGGGGCACGGGTGGCTCAGTCGTCTAAGGCGCCGCGATTCGCTGTGCAGAGTTGTGTCCCTTGGGCACGCAAGAAACCTATGATTGCGGGTTCGAATCCCTGTTCGCCCCAATTATGTTTCTAGGTTTGTCAGCACCATACCCGTGCTCGTGGTTTTCACCGCAGTGGTAAACGTCTGAGACCTGCATCACTTCGGGCTTTCCTCCCACATTAAGCTGACACGCCGTAATATGACTGGAATACTGTTAAAGCAGCGTTAAACCCAACTCACTCACTCACTCATAGGCTGATAACATGACCAATGTCCATCATCAATGGTAGAGAAAAATACTGTTTGATATGTTGTTTCTTTAATGTTTATTATTAAATAGGACAAGAATGTATTCCATGATGGCTTGAATCTGTGATTGCTGTGTTATTGATGACTGCAGTATGAATGAACCGTACTTATTCAATATTCTCCTTTTGACTCCTTAGTAAATCTGCAGAAATTCATTTGTTAAATTATGTTGGTTCATTTGAAAAATACATTGTGATGAGAATTATTAAGGCATGAAGTGAGTTAAATGTGTCACTAGCAGGATGAAACCTGTGAAGAATAGGTCTTCAGCAACCCATGCTTGCCGTGAAAGGCGACTATGCTTGTTGTAAGAGGCGCCTGACGGGATCGGGTGGTCAGGCTCGCTGACTTGGTTGATGCATGTCATCGATCCCAAATTGTGTGGATCAATGCTCACGATATCAATCACTGGATTGTCAAGTCCAGACTCGATTATTTACAGACCGCCGTCATATCGGCGCATAAAATATCATCACGTTCTGATTTCAGTACAGAAGACTTATGTGTTTTACATAATCGTGACTTGCCAGTCATACAGCTAGACTCTCTAACAAGTAATGATAAAAAATTATCTCTGTAGACCTCATCGATGCCCAGAACCAAAGGGTCGTACGAGTGCGCCGCCTTGTATTACATCCAGACTCAGGAAAAGAGAAGTGAGTTCATGTTTTCTCATGTATATCTTCACATCAGCCAACTATTACTTTTCTTGCATACATGGCAGGCATTGAAAGTTTGTAATGCGGCAGCTTCACACACCAACATGTGGCAACCTAAAGGACATGAAGCAGGCTTCCCAAGGCCCCGGTCTACACCGTCCGCTGCTGATTGACCTCACACTGCTCATTGTGATGTGAAAGATATGACATCACAGTCAGATATAGAAAAGCACCAAAATCACAGCTCTCTGCTGTCCCTAAAACTGAAATACTCTGGGTTTTTTTGTCTTGCCAATAGTATTGCCACGCAAACCTAGAATATGTAGTAAATGCATCACTGCATTGTGTGACCAGTAATTAAAAATGCCTACCATTAGTGATTGAAAAAGTAGCACTTAAATAATGCAATTGTTAGCCTCTGCAGTGTTGTGGCCATCAAATCAGTTATTTCTATCAGTGCTGACTGTATTTTGAAACCTGACTGACCAACCAGAATAAAGTATTTTTGAAATTCATGTTAAAACATCCAACTCATGTTTTTATGCAGTTTCCAATGTTAAAAAAAATAGTGAGATGATTTCAGATTGTGTCATGCTTGATTTCAGATTGTGTCATGCTTGCATTTCAGATTGTGTCATGCTTGCATTTCAGATTTGTCCCCGATTCGGTGGCATGGATGGAGCCCGGTGCAACAGGAAGTACATCTACAGCAGGTGTGTGTGTGTCCGCCTGTCATTATGGGAATCATCTCTTCAGTTATGTAACTGATATTTCGAGTTTATTGATGTTCACTGTCTGTTTTAAAGAGATGTATTCATTGTGAACTCTGTGTGCAGGTTCCGGCCGGTGAGGACATATCGAGACGGGGATGAAGATGGCTTTGCTTGTTGTGCCTTTAGTGTGAGTAGTGAGAGATCTGGACTTCAGCTGGATGGCAGAACTTGTGTGTCCATGAAAGATTTCATATGCTAGATCATATGCAATTGATTAATTATCCTGAGTGTCATTGGGTACTTTTTTCTGAATCACAGGTAGATATTGTAGAAAATATGTGTACAGCCGATTGCTATTTCCGGCTTATTTTTACGAGACAGTTACACACGGTAGTCTTAATCCATGCATATACTACATTGCCTAGCTTGACAAGGAATACAATTAAAATTGTACATCATCATGTCTGCTGGTGGCCCAGCCCACTTAATCATTGACCAAGTTGGTAATCTCCTGTTCCTTCCCCCGTTTTATACTGCGTACAAAATAAGAAATAACAATTTAAAAATAAACCTTATCCCCAAGAATGGTTATGTACGCGTTATACTCAAGTGCGCACTAAGAGAGCATGGTATTTTATGACTGCTGGTGTTTGATGTCTGTGTGTCTGTTTCCAGTCTGATGAAAAGTACTTGTTGCTGGGGACATTCTCTGGAGATGTGAAACTATCAAGCAAGTTAACAGGCGAGGTGAGTCAGAATCTATGTTTATATTAGCGATACAGATTTGACTTAACTTCTGACTTTGTTTGAGGAAAGTGTTTGTCGTTCTTCATCTTTCCCTGGTGTGATTCTGGTATAGAATATGTCTCCAGCAAACTTGGTTTGAGACAGGCGTTGACTAAAAGGGATCAGGTGGTCAGGCTCATTGACTTTGTACGAGCCATGTTTGTTTGTCGTGGGTTTGCCTGAACCACTCATTAATTTACAAGACACTGTGAAGTAGCTGGAATATTGCTGACTGCTTTCTATTTCACAAGCATGTAAATTAGGAACGGTAAAGCATGAAACTAATAATGTTAATGCAAGCAGTAAAGTATAAATTTGAGTGTCCTTTGATCACATTAATATTGTCGGACTATTATCTGGACATACTGGAGTAGACTGTCATGTCAGGTTTACTGCACATGCACTGCTGAGCAACTCTTTCACTCTTGACCGTAGATAAAAAATATGGTGTCCAGAAATACACTTATTGTGCTTGACTATAGTGTTTGATATGATCCGAGAATGAGCACCTGATGTTGTGTGTTGCAGCAAGTGGATACACTCACCTGCCACACGTCCCCCATCATCCACCTTGAGCCTTCCAGGGTAAGTACACACACAATGTCCTTGCATTTCAGTCTATTGTCTGGACCTGGTCAATCAGTCTTTAATATATCAAGCCTCCAGATCTTTGGAGTGTGCCTGTTCATGTCTTTGTCCAATATTCAAGAAGCCCCAACAAAATGGGAACTGCTAACTGAAGAATCACACTTACAAATAGCTGTGAATTTACCTTGATGACAACAGGTGTTTTCATCTGCGCCTTGATACTTAGTCTAGTATTGTGAAACAGTCATTTATAGCAATTAAAAGTTAGAGGACATGGTAGGTGGAGAACATTTTCTTGTTCCTCTTGTCACCCAGGCCATATGGAACACGAAGAATGTCACAAATAAAATAATGTAAATAAATTTGATTAATAATAATTGTAATGAGTATATATCTATATCCCCATATTCCATGCCGGTCAGTATGGTCATAGCGCCACAACATTATTGCCCCAGACACTGGATCAGTGTGCTCTTGATTTTCATTCTCAGCTCCCTGGGATGTATACAAGTTAGTATCATGATTTGTATCATGTGACTAAAGTATCACGATGTGTATCGATACATGAGGAAAGCGTATCATAGAACCGTTGTCTTACACTATTGATCACTGATGTATCTGGTCCAGCCTTATTACAGACTGTCAAAACACCAAACTCAATGTTTCCAAAGTATTCCTGTATTTTCTGCACACAGTTTCGAAATTGTTTGATTCCAGGATGGTAAGCTCCTGTTGACGTCAACGTGGGGAACGATGCAAGACTCATCTCTGTGGGGCTTCGGCGAATCATTGGAGAACAAGTGAGTACTGGAAGTGGGAAGGAGGTAGACCTACACTGGTTTGGATTTCCAGTAGGCACAAGGGCCTACCCTACCTTTGCCTACACACACTGAGGCCAACCTGGCAAGGTTCAAATCAGAAGTAAATTGTCCTTATTAAAGTGAAGGTCTGGAAGAAATGTCTTTAGACTGTAGATGGTGGTATTTTAAGACTTAAGAAACCAATTACCATCCCACCAATTACCATGTCACCGATTACCATCCCACCAATCACCATATAACCGATTACCATCCCACCAATCACCATATCACTGATTACCATGTCACCGATTACCATCCCACCAATCACCATATAACCGATTACCATCCCACCAATCACCATATAACCGATTACCATCCCACCAATCACCATATAACCGATTACCATCCCACCAATCACCATATCACTGATTACCATGTCACCGATTACCATCCCACCAATCACCATATAACCGATTACCATCCCACCAATCACCATATAACCGATTACCATCCCACCAATCACATATAACCGATTACCATCCCACCAATCACCATATCACCGATCACCATATCACCGATTACCATGTCACCAATTACCATCCCACCAATTACCATATCACCGATTACCATATCACCGATTACCATCCCACCAATCACCATATCACCGATTACCATATCACCGATTACCATATCACCGATTACCATATCACTGATCACCATATCACCGATTACCATGTCACTGATCACCATATCACCGATTACCATATCACCGATTACCATATCACCGATTACCATATCACCGATTACCATGTCACTGATTACCATCCCACCAATCACCATATCACCGATTACCATCCCACCAATCACCATATCACCGATTACCATGTCACTGATCACCATATCACCGATTACCATATCACCGATTACCATATCACCGATTACCATATCACCGATTACCATATCACCGATTACCATCCCACCAATCACCATATCACCGATTACCATATCACCGATTACCATATCACCGATTACCATATCACCGATTACCATATCACCGATTACCATATCACCGATTACCATGTCACTGAATACCATCCCACCAATCACCATATCACCGATTACCAAACCCCAAAATCCCCATGTCACCGATTACCATATCACCGATTAATATCTCACCGATTACCATGTCACCGATTACCATGTCACCAATCACCATATCAGCGATTACCATATCAGCGATTACCATATCACCGATTACCATATCACCGATTACCATCCCACTAATCACCATATCACCGATTACCATATCACCGATTACCATATCACCGATTACCATATCACCGATGACCATGTCACTGATTACCATCCCACCAATTACCATCCCACCAATTACCATGTCACCGATTACCATATCACTGATTACCATCCCACCAATTACCATATCACCGATTACCATGTCACCGATTACCATATCACCGATTATCATATCACCGATTACCATGTCACTGATTACCATCCCACCAATTACCATCCCACCAATTACCATGTCACCGATTACCATATCACTGATTACCATCCCACCAATTACCATATCACCGATTACCATGTCACCCATTACCATGTCACTGATTACCATCCCACCAATCACCATATCACCGATTACCATCCCACCAATCACCATATCACCGATTACCATGTCACTGATCACCATATCACCGATTACCATATCACCGATTACCATGTCACTGATAACCATCCCACCAATCACCATATCACCGATTACCATCCCACCAATCACCATATCACCGATTACCATATCACCGATTACCATATCACCGATTACCATCCCACCAATCACCATATCACTGATTACCATGTCACCGATTACCATCCCACCAATCACCATATAACCGATTACCATCCCACCAATCACCATATAACCGATTACCATCCCACCAATCACATATAACCGATTACCATCCCACCAATCACCATATCACCGATTACCATCCCACCAATCACCATATCACCGATTACCATATCACCGATTACCATGTCACCGATTACCATATCACTGATTACCATCCCACCAATTACCATGTCACCGATTACCATGTCACTGATTACCATCCCACCAATTACCATGTCACCGATTACCATATCACCGATTACCATCCCACCAATTACCATATCACCGATTACCATATCACCGATTACCATATCACCGATTACCATCCCACCAATCACCATGTCACCGATTACCTTATCACTGATTACCATATCACCGATTACCATCCCACCAATCACCATATCACCGATTACCATCCCACCAATCACCATCCCACCAATCACCATGTCACCGATTACCATATCACCGATTACCATATCACCGATTACCATATCACCGATTACCATATCACTGATTACCATATCACCGATTACCATCCCACCAATCACCATATCACCGATTACCATCCCACCAATCACCATCCCACCAATCACCATCCCACCGATTACCATCCCACCGATTACCATATCACCGATTACCATCCCACCAATCACCATGTCACCGATTACTATATCACCGATTACCATATCACCGATTACCATCCCACCAATCACCATATCACCGATTACCATATCACCGATTACCATATCACCGATTACCATCCCACCAATCACCATCCCACCGATTACCATCCCACCGATTACCATATCACCGATTACCATCCCACCAATCACCATGTCACCGATTACTATATCACCGATTACCATATCACCGATCACCAATCACCATATCACCGATTACCATATCACCGATTACCATGTCACCGATTACCATATCACTGATTACCATCCCACCAATTACCATGTCACCGATTACCATGTCACTGATTACCATCCCACCAATTACCATATCACCGATTACCATATCACCGATTACCATATCACCGATTACCATGTCACCGATTACCATATCACTGATTACCATCCCACCAATCACCATCCCACCAATTACCATGTCACCGATTACCATATCACCGATTACCATCCCACCAATTACCATATCACCGATTACCATATCACCGATTACCATATCACCGATTACCATCCCACCAATCACCATGTCACCGATTACCATATCACCGATTACCATATCACCGATTACCATCCCACCAATCACCATGTCACCGATTACTATATCACCGATTACCATATCACCGATTACCATATCACCGATTACCATCCCACCAATCACCATCCCACCGATTACCATCCGACCAATCACCATGTCACTGATTACCATCCCACCAATTACCATGTCACCGATTACCATGTCACTGATTACCATCCCACCAATTACCATATCACCGATTACCATATCACCGATTACCATATCACCGATTACCATGTCACCGATTACCATATCACTGATTACCATCCCACCAATTACCATCCCACCAATTACCATCCCACCGATTACCATATCACCGATTACCATCCCACCAATTACCATATCACCGATTACCATATCACCGATTACCATCCCAACAATCACCATGTCACCGATTACCATATCACCGATTACCATATCACCGATTACCATATCACCGATTACCATCCCACCAATCACCATGTCACCGATTACTATATCACCGATTACCATATCACCGATTACCATATCACCGATTACCATCCCACCAATCACCATCCCACCGATTACCATCCCACCAATCACCATGTCACCGATTACCATATCACCGATTACCATATCACCGATTACCATCCCACCGATCACCATGTCACCGATTACCATCCCACCAATTACCATATCATCGATTACCATCCCACCAATTACCATATCACCGATTACCATCCCACCAATCACCATATCACCGATTACCATCCCACCAATCACCATATCACCGATTACCATCCCACCAATCACCATATCACCGATTACCATCCCTAAAATCCCCATGTCACCAATTGCCATCCCATCAATTACCATCCCACCAATTACCTTGTCAATTTGGTCATTACATTTACACAAGTTCGTAAAGCAGTAATGACAGTAATGTTGCCAACCATGTACAACGGTGTCTTTGTTCTTGGCTATCATGTCATGGTCATGATGGTAGCTGGCCACTATCAGTCGATGCTCAGATTCATTACAGTCCTGAGTTCCATTGTTTCTATCTTGCAGATTCACATTTGACGATCACTATGCAGAGTTCAGTAACGTTTTACAAGAGAGAATTATAGGCACAAAGGATGAAACAGCACATGTATGTATGCTCTTGTATGTGCTTGTATGTGCTTGTATGTGATGTGTGCTCTTGGGTGCAGTAGTTGGACGAAAGACATTCCCTCTCATTCATACTCCAAGATCCGTGGTAGAATAGGTCTTCAGCAACCCATGCTTGTCGTAAGAGCAGACTAACTGGATCAGGTGGTCAGACTCGCTGACTTGGTTGATGCATGTCATCGTATCCCAATCGATATGGATCGATGCTCATTATTTCAGGGGCGGTCGGGTAGCCTAGTGGTTAAAGCGTTCACTCGTCACGCCGAAGGCCCGGGTTCGATTCCCGACATGGGTACAATGTGTGAAGCCCATTTCTGGTGTCCCCTGCCGTGATGTTGCTGGAATATTGCTAAAAACGGCGTAAAACCATACTCACTCACTCATTATTTCAAATACTGGATTGTCTGGTTCATCCTCGATTATTTACAGGCTGCTGTCATAAAGCTGGAATATTGCTGAGTGTGACGTTAAACAACAAAGCAGAAACAAAACAAAATGAAAAGGCCACTGAAAAACTGCATCAACATTAATACATAGAGTAATTGTTTGATGTCAGCTGTGCCTCGTATGTTTGTCCCTGTGTCGTAAGGGAGATTGATATTAAGTGGGTAATCATAGATTCTTTTGTCTTCATGCAACTTGTATTATGTCACACCTCTAGATGTTGCTATGTATGTTATATGACATACACTATGATATGTGTATCAAGGGAGATAATCTGTCGCTGATTGGTAGATTGAGTATGCAAGGATGCTTTGAAATGTTCAGTATAAATGAATTGGTTGTTTGAGAGATTGACCCAAATGGGCATTCTGGCAAGTAACTAGTACTTGCAGTAAGAATTGACTAACATAGATTGGGTCGGTGATGACTTGCTGATCATGTGTTAGTGTGTCCCGATGACCTGGATCAATGCTCATGCTTTCAGTCACTGGTTTGTCGGATGTAGTGGAATATCGCTGAGAGCGATGTTAAGAAACATTAAGCTGTATGTGAGAGAATGATGAAGGGTTTAATGCCAATTTGGGATTTGGTACCTGCCCAGTAGCATTTGTTGGTCTGACAAGATCTGGGTTGTTTCAGATCTACGACACCCTCACAGGGCAGAATGTTGTCACGTTGTTCGACGCGGATAAAGCCAACAACTACAAGGCCAACGCAGCGACCTTCAGCCCCACAGACGACCTTGTCCTCAATGATGGGGTGCTGTGGGATGTCCGAACAAGTCGAACCATTCACAAGTTTGACAAGTTCAACTCCTACATCAGCGGCGTCTTCCACCCCATGGGCCTGGAAATCATCATCAACTCGGAAGTTGTATCCTGTCTCTGTAGACTTATTGAAACCTAGAGTTATCATCCAATACTGACTGCCACTGGAGATTTCGCTTGTATAAGATTAAGCGACATCACTTGAGCTATTGGCCACTTATGCTTAAAGTTAAAGTGTTCATATCTAATCAAGTGATTCTGTTTTAGATTACCTTTTGCTTCAAAACACACTTTCATTTACTCTATTTGAACACTGCAATGAAATAACCCTGAAAGAATGGACCACTGTTAGCGAGGTGGGATCCCAGTCTTTGACTACCTGTCATGGTAACTTTATAATGGTCATGTTGGTTTTGATTTCTTGTGCCTAAAAGACTTAAGAGAGCCTACAAAATCAAAGTGGTCGTCAAGTTAATTATGTTAGTAGATTTATTTTGTAAACATTGCAAGAAGCAAACAAAGCATCGTCCATCAATTCAAGAATTGTTTAAGTTTGTTTTGTTATGGAGTTATGGAATGTTACAATGTTCATTTGGGTTTTGATTTTTTGTGCCTATAGTAATTCAAGAGAGTCTAAAATATTCATGGATGTGTGATGCCTGCATTAGAACAGTACATACAAGATCTGCAAAGACATTTTACAAGTGTACAAAGATACATTGGGTAATGTCACAGTGTTGTTGTATTGTTGTTGTGTTTACACTGTTCATGTCTGTTTGTACACAAGCAATTAACCTTAGTTGGGTAATGGAGATTAAGATTGCGTATTTTACACAACTATGCAGATTATCTGGGGCTCTGGGACTACCCTAATGGGACGTTACTGTGTTCTCCTGATTCATTAATCTGAAAATGAGTTAGACCCGATGATGTGAGTACTGTCCAGATTAGCAGGGTTCACCTGTACATGGTAGTGTTTCCTCCTTAACGTTCCCCCAGTGGGACATCCGGACCTTCCACCTGTTGAACACAGTACCAGCTCTTGACCAGTGCCAGATCAAGTTCAATCACTCCGGAGATGTCATATATGGTAAGATTGTTCAGAATTAACTTGCACCTTGTGTGAATTCATGAGAGTAAGGGGGCGGTTGGTTACCCTAGAGGTTAAAGTGTTCACTCGTCACACCAAAGACCCGGGTTCGATTCCCGACGTGGTACAATGTGTGAAGCCCATTTCTGGTGTCCCCTGCCATGATATTGCTGGAATATTGCTAAAAGCGGCATAAGACCACACTCACTCACTTACTTACTCATGAGAGTAAGAGTCTTCATGGATTTAGGGCCAAACTGTAGTAACGTTGGAGCTTGCAGGTTTCATCACAACTGTTGTATATATATTTAAACTAGGACATCTGGGCCCCTTTCCACAACGTCATCTTTGCGCTGAGATGATTGTAGCTCCCATATTGTAACAATGACTTGAGACAGTTGTATCTCTTTGTGGAACAGGGCCCTGGGCTGTGAATGGATGTAATCGCAGTGTTTCGTGTACTTTAGCTATTTTATGACAATATTGATTTCATACTTCTCTGCAGAGTGTCCCATTTGTAAAGTTATTGTGGACAGTTATATAGACCTGGAACCTTGAAGGGACTTCTTTGAATAATATTACATTGTTTATTTAATTTTCAGCAACAAGAGTGGATGAGGACCCAGATAATCCCGAAGACCGCTACAGGACTCCGTACGGATCGACACTGCGCACGTTCGACGCCACAGACTACAGCAGTATCGGTCAGTTGATGTTTTCTTGTGTAACATGATGGTAGAAATATGTTCATTGTTAGAATTTCCAAAGAGATTTTAAAAGGACATGCTGCAATGTAGATATCAATGTATGTCACACCTAAAATCTGATTTATCTATGGGCTCTCAGTGGCCAAAATTTGGACCCAGGTCTACAGGAAATGCCAGTTAAAATTCCAAATTAGAATATTTTTATCTCTATTGAAAGTTAATTAAGAAATGACTTCAATAGATTTTTTTGCATTTATATGAATAAATAAGTCAACAATAAAAACTGACTGCTCATCTAATCAATGACAAAAAAAACTGTAGACAACAATATGAAATCTGTGACATTGTTCCCCACAATAAGGCAACACAACCTAATGCCCACCCTATTATAAGCCAATCAGGAAACCGTAGACCACAAGTAGGTGTGGCCTAATTCTTTTTCATTGTCTGAAAACCAACAGTGACATGTTTGATATTTGTTCTTTTCTTGCTTCTTCAGCTACTCTAGGGTAGTCCAGTAGTGGGAGATTTCACTTGCTTCTCAGATAGCCTAGGTTTGATTCCTCTACTTTCCTTCTGCAACCACATATGTGTATGTGGATTTACATTACTTGTTGGCAGGTACCATGGACTTGAAAACCAAGAGCATCTTCGACCTGTGCACAGACAAATCAGACTGCTACCTAGCTGTTGTGGAGGTAGGCAGTGCAATCGTCTTTGTAGCTGTGGCAGTGAGGGTAACCTCATTACCTGGGACCATCTTTAATATATCGACTTGTCCGTGGTTTGAGTGCTGATTTTAGATGATAGTGCTGATAGTGATTCTGCTGGGATCCTCATTGTATTGTCTTAGGCAATACGACGTTAATGAATTTCAACATGACAAGGTTTCACTGTTTTTGTCAATTTTCACAAAATCAATTGTTCTGAAGTTAATGTATTGATTGTTGAAGGTATACTGGTAGTTCTTTAAGTTAATGTGAGGTTGTGAAGTTCTGAAATCTGAAACATTATTGCTTGTGAGCAGGGGAAACAGAACAGTGGAGTGTTTATGGATAGACACAAATTAAGTTTATAAATTGTACATTTATTATCCCCCGGCATATAATGCGGGGGGGGATATAGTCGACACCTCGTCCGTCCATCCATCTGCCCATAAGCATTTCATTTCCAGAGTTCAATATTTTTCAACATGAATACCATTTGTACTTGGTCTCATAAGGGGCGGGCAGTAGATGTCATTTCTGGAGCACAACTTGAAGACTGTGAAAGACTTTTCATCCAAACCTGGCACATGTATTGACCAAGGGCTGAAGCGTTGCCTTTCGCTTTTCGGGAATTTTTCAAAATGTAATTTTTCCCTTTTCCCCATGAAAACAAGTTAGACTTCACGGAAACGGAGGTAGGTGTCGTTTCTGGAGCAGAACTAAAAACGCATTCAACATTTTTCATCCAAACTTGGTACATGTATTAATCAAGGGCTTAAGTCGTGCCTTTTGCTATTTAGAAATCTCTTTTTTTTAAATTAATTTTTTTTTTTCCTGTTTCCATGGCAACAAGTTTGATTTTGACTCTGTTCATAGTGGTGTGTACCTGACATAGAATTAAGTTCCAAATCCCAATTCCATGCTATTGTTTTGATAGCTCAGTACCTACTCTTGTATACGGACAGACAGATTAGATAGAAATTCTCTCATCAAGTTGGACTTAAAGTAACAGTCACATGATTTGTTCTTTCGAAGTTGTGGGGGAAGGATTTAGAAGTCACACACCAGGACAGACAGCATTCATTCTATGCTATATAACCCAGGCATATGGCTGCAACATCGTTGTTGATATGTAAAGTTGTAAACTCCCTCGCTTAGTTTACGCTGACTGCGGGATTAAGCTTTAGTAGGACCTGAACAAACCAGGATTGAATTTGGGTAATTCAGATGCCCTATTCATTGTTAGGTGTGTCAATATATCTGATGGGACGTAATATTTTAACGCGCTCATTCTGTGTTAAGTGTCCCGGCAGCTGTTTTTGAAGATGACTCTTCTCTTTATGACCAGTTGAGCACAGTCTCGCTGAGAAGCTCAGGTTTCAGTGTGATGATATTGTTTGTGCAGAATCAGCAGTTTTCGGAGGTCACAGGTGAGGAGAGTGTGTGTCGGCTGTACGAGATGGGCAAGCTGAGAGATGAAGAGGATGATCAGGTATTGGATGAAACTCCCTCTGTGATCCTGCATCCCAAGACATTGTCGTCAGAGGCGATTAACACGATCAGGTGGTCAAGATCGCTGACATACTTGATGCATGTCATCGATCCCAATTGCATGGATCATGCTAATCACTGGATTGTCTGGTCCAGACTCTGTTATTTACAGACCGCCGTCATATAGCTGTAATGTTGCTGAGTACAGCATTAAACAATAAACAAACAAACAACATTTACAGAGGCATTTATGTCTTGAAATAGCATGGAAATGACAAGTCATTAGACATTTCAGAGGATATAATCTCATTACTTCATGTCTGTAGTTATAAAATTTGTTGATGATGTGTCATATAAATGTATGACAACCCGATTGATTTTGTTATAAAACTTAAGTTAGAAGTATTCCAAGGAGGCTATGTTGAAAAGCCTGAGCTATGTGTTATACTCCTATCTATCATCAGCAGGAGGAAGAGGAGGAGGAGGAAGAAGAGGAGGATGGAGGTGACGACGATGATGATGATGATGACGATGATGATGAAGATCTTAATATTGACCTAGGTGATCTTGGATCAGATCTAGATCTTGGTAAGTTCATGGTAATGTATGTACTTCACTGAACTGACAGTGTGTCATCTTGGCAGATGGGTCTTGTCAGGTGGTGGAGGTTCCTGGGGAGGTGATCCACACAATCGTCCAATTCCTAGAATAGAAGTGCTCTCTACATCTAGTATGTGAGCTGACAATATTTCCTGCAGCTTTGTGATATTACTGATCTTCATTTGGCCTACTGGCTGTGAGTGGATTCCTGGTTAGAACTGTCCCCAGCAACCTGTGATTGCCATGTGAGGCGACTTAATGGATCAAGTGGTCAGGCTCGGGACTTGGTTGATAGCGTGTCATCATTCCCCCAACAGTGTGGATTATTGCGTGTCTGGTCCAGACTTTATTATTGACAGGCCACAGCCATATAGCTGAAATATTGCTGAGTGGGTTGTTACACGAGGAACAAATAAACAAACAAGTATCCTTCTATACCGGCATGTTTGCGTTTAACGAAAAGCTTTGTATAGTTTTTTAAGGGTTTTACAATGTTGATGTCCTTTTTCAAGAGAACTGACTAATATTATCATTAGTGGTGATTAGCAATGAATCAAAGTGTGTTTAGTGTTCAACATATCTGTATGAAGTCTACATTACTTTAGTTTGTGGACTATTTTATCATCAGAATTTGCATAAGAAATAGGTCATGGATAAGAATAGAAATTAGTGCAGCTGTGACCTTCATTTTACTTGGCTGTATCTTCAGGAACAAGTGTATGATAGCTGCAAGTAGGGCTGTGACGATACACCAACTGTGCTAGCCGATACGTATCATGATACCTTGCTAACGATCAGATGCGTATCACGATACTTGCATGTGGTCTTGTTTGTGGTGCATAAGCAATCTTTTTCAAAGACAGGATGTCCAAATACATGACACACTGACAAGTTACAGTTGGTAGTGTCAAGTCTGGCACAATGGATGAAAATATTTACGTTTTCACAACGTATTTTCACTAGTAATTAATAAACTTGTATCGAAAAGTAAAAAATCGCGATCCAACGATGCAAGGGTGTATCGTCCCATACTATCTGCAAGTGATGTTCAGATACCAGCATTGAATAGGTCCCAGCGATCCTTTGCTTGCCAAAGAAAGAGGGGACTGACTGGATCAGGTGGTCAGACTCATTGTGCCCTCAAGGGTGGTCGAGTAGCCAAGTGATTCAAGCGTTCGCTGAAGACCCGGGTTCGATTCCCGACGTGGTACAATGCGTGAAGCCCATTTCTGGCGACCCCCTCCATGATACTGCTGGAATATTGCTAAAAGTGGCATAAAACCATACTCACCCGGTCATTGTGCCCTGAAGGCATGGATCGTTGTTCATGTTTTCAGTCACTGGCTTGCTTGGGGCAGGCTTGATTATGTACAGGTTGCTGAGATAAAGCTGAAATAGTGCTGATTGCAGACAAGATTCACTCCTCTCACTTCATTCTAAATCCATCTTCACGTCACACACAGACTTTCTGTACGTTGGTCACTTTCAGATGATCTTATTGACGATGAGGAAGAAAATGAAGAAGCAGAAGAAGCGGAGCCAGAGGAGTACAGCATTGCCAGCGATGATGACGATGATGATGACAATGATGGTGATGTTGACATTGATGACGATGCACTGTTTGAGCTGGTGTAAACAACTGAACTCAAAGTGTTAAAGATGCTAGTCAGTGCTTGCAATGTCTCCACGCGACCAGGGATGGGGAATACTACCGGGTACCCACAGTGCTGCTTGGTTAAGTGTTGGTAGAAATGCATTGATGATGAGAGGGCATCCGTTAAGAAAGCCATTACTGTGGTGCAAATGTCAGCAGCTCACTGCCATACATGTGTAGCAGAATACCTCAGCATTTCTATGTGAGAAAATTAAAAATCATTTTAATATTGTTTTTAATTTGATACTTTATACCTAATTGGTATGTACCACTTGCATTACTTGGACATGTACACACGATGTGTGACTGATGTGTATCTCGACTTCCTATGCAATGATACAAGAGACTAATTAGAGACAAAAAAAATCTAAACACCTTTAAACATACAAAATAAAGTTCGTAATTAAGCATGAAAGTCTCGGGTAGAAGATGTTTTCTTGCTAAAAAAAATAGGCTAGCCACGGACTTTTCAAAAATCTTTGCTTGAGAATGTTTGTACAACTAGAGCCTCTTATAAGGAAGGTATCCATACATGTAGAGTACAAGATATTGATACCGTGTTTCCTTGGTCAGACCTGGAACTTCAGTGCAAGATAGATGTTTGTTGGGGGATTGCATCAGAATGTCTGCTGAGACCCTGGAGACTGACTGGTTGGATCGGTTTATTGCGTGGAACAATCATATATGTAAATAGAGAGAGAATGGAATCAAGGTCGCTATACTTGAAACTGCCATTCAACATATAGTCAGGATTACAGTGTTCCAGGGACTTGACTCTTGTGTTTCAGCCATATAGAACTGTACTTGTGTTCTCCATATTACAATGTAGTGTTTCAGCTAGAAAATGACAGCCTGAGCAAAAGTTTAATCAATGAATTTGTCAAATTTGTGGTTCAAACGCATTATTGTTACCAGGGGAGGTAACTGTGACTGACCATTCTATTTTTGTGTGACAGGCAAAGTTGAGGCATCTGACCTCCATGTTTAAGGGTGACCTCATTAATTGATTATGGTTGAGAAAGTTTTCTCAGGGTCCAATTCACTGCCATACATGCGATACTAGCATGCAGATTTTAGTTACAGTAAGTTCAATTTTGAAATGTGAAAGTGCAATCAAGACAGCATAACACTTGACAGGTGGAGGCTTAACATTTGCCTCAGAGCTACTGACTCTCAGAGCCGTTTTCTGTTGACCTTAGCTGGGCACAAATATCTCATTGTTCATGGGTTCATTTTTACGTTGACCCTAGGAAGTTATGGTGGCTTCTGCGAGCCTCTGAAGCCGCGGTAACTTCGCTGTGGTACAATGCTGCATGTGATAATGTTCATGTTTCAAGTTGTGTCCTCTCTGTAAATTATCTATGTTAAAACAATGTAAATACCTGTTACCTTTAGTTCTTTTAAATATGGTTTGTCTCATTTTATCCATTATATAATTAAAACAAATGTTAACAATGGTAGTGTCGTCACGGACATGTTGAATGTTATGCACTGGGTCCTATCAATCTGATCACCATTTAGGATGTTTTGAGTTGCCAAACCTTTAACCAAACTTTGCTCAAGCATATTTACTTGACATTGTTTGATGTCAGGAATTTCTTAATTTGATGTGTCAATTGTTGATGTCCTTCATAACTTCTTTGAAAGGCATTTAGAAGTTGAGTACTACGTAAGGATAACTTCTTTTTCACAATTAGGAGCAACATTTTGGTGTCTGTTCTTCGCTTGCTTGATGACGGTGTTAGTACGTACACTAAAACGTCCCTCCTAATTGTAATAAAGAAGTTGTTCATCCATATATCTTATCCTTACTTAGATGTCCTTCTTGTTTTTTCATCAAGTCTGCAAATCTCTATTTCACTTCACAGGTGCTTCTAAAATTTTCTCTGCTCTCATTTTTGTATATTTTTCCAATGTGTAACAAAACTTTCTATCGAGCAGTTTGATACTCCCAAGTGCTAAGCAAATTTGATACTCCCAAGTGCTGAGCAAATTTGATACTCTCAAGTGTATTCCATGCCAACATAATTAGTCTGGGTTGAATATTTGTACATAGGGTCTTTGTTTTGTGTGTACAGATATCTTCAATGTAAATAGTTGTTTTATTTATGAGAGAGTTTGCATTGAGCCATTTAGTTCATTTTAACTTTGAACTTTTAAGTACTCAATAACCTAATTCAGAATGACCACATTTCAGTGTCAGCGTTTATACTTCCATCCATTCCTTATCAATAATAGTAAAGGTTTCATACGAACTTGCCTCAAAGACAGTTAGCTCTTGATATGACAAGCTCAAAGATCAGTATCCGGGAGGCTGGGTAGTCGAGTGGTTAAGGTGTTACACTTGTTACACTGAAGACCTAGGTTTGATTCCTCAGTACGGTACCTTGTGTAAAGGCCGTTCTAGTTGCCCTTGTTTCATTCCAGCTTTACTAGTGCTAAAAACTGGGTACAACAAAAATTAATATCCAGTTCAGTTTTCCTTCTTGTATCTGATGGATCTCCAAGTTATTAGACAGGACTCAATGCTAGGTTACAGTACCCCCGTGTCATATCAGGAGCTTTCTGTAGCCAGGTCTGGACAGTGAAGATATATAGGTCATGAGTAAGAACAAGGTATTTTTGTTTTAAAAAGAATTATCCAATATTCTTCAAATGTTCAAGGGTATGTAAGTGTGGATCTCTATGAATCATGATTGCATAATATGGTAAACAGGAAGATGCTCTGTCTGTTTGCATTGTCTGGTACTCCAGTGATATCGCTTAGTGTGTAAAGCAACATGTATCCACTCATTCTTAATGGATTGACTCGAGTTAAAACCTGTTGAATTTAGTGGGGAAAAAATAATTAAAGTGATCAACGGTCCATCTAAATTTACCAAAGTGTTTAGATAGGTGGTACTGTAAGTTTTATTTCGCGCCAAGATTATATTCTTGTTGTTCCTTTCCACCACTTACATCATAGCTATGCTGGATTAAATAGCAGCTTCTATCTCTCCATCTTTATGTCCCTCTTTGTTTCTGGAAGAGAGCTGACTAGGATTTGAAATAACTTCACGACAATTTATACACAAACAAATTATCAGCAAAACATTTTTTTTTCAAAATTTAATTTCCCAGAATCAAAGACGGATGGATAGGAAGGAAGTTCCTCATTCCCAGAGTTTAGGTTTGCTTGTATCTTCATGAAACTTGACACACAACCAACAGCTGTGATGGGGCCTACTGCAACTGGTATTTGGAATGTTTTGCTTGTTTTTCCAAGTAAGCAAGACTTGTTGTTGCACAATACAAGTACACTTCAAACGTACACTCCATGTTACTGGTGTTACTACTAATACGTACACTGATCTTAGTACTAAGGTGAGGCTAGACAAGTGTAAATACTTGTGTCACAGATGCTCTCCTCCCTGGGTGACCATTTACCCAAACAACCACAACAAGTCTGGAACCAAGTTATCTTGTGTGGTCACCTTTCATCTCAGAATGTGCTGTCACTTATTGCTGTTTGCTGCCATTTGTTTCTGCTGCTAAAGCCTTGCCTGGAGACAAGCAGAAACATCCCTCAAACCCCAAAGAGTGAGTGTGACCATCTTCCTGAGTCAAGGGAGTTAACTGACTATAAAAGTTTCAACCCTAGGCCTGAATTTCTGGGTTTGATCGTAGCTTTTTCTGCACGGTTGATTTCGTTACGCAATTTTGATTGGACTCTGCATAAGTAGATAGTCCAGCAAAAATAGAACTCCATAATTGCAGCCAAGTTCCGCAAGGGTGGAAACTGGACTTTATAAGTCAGTTAACTCCCTTTCCTCAGGAAGATGGAGTTTGAGATACATACAGGATATAGGGTTAAAGGTACGATGCAGTAATACATTTAGTCATTTATCTTACGATGATATTTGGGATAGAAATCTGTAAAACATATTTGAATTGGTCTGGCTAATGGTCCCATGTAACTAGTGTTTTGTAGTTCAGGGTATGGAAGACTTGATAGTGTTGATTGTGGAGCAGTCATCTTAAGTATATGTTTCAGAGGCATCCATCTAGCCTTCTCATTTACATACTCAGTCAGTTGTAACTGTCTTATGTGGAACCTGTGTGATGGAGACGGAGGAGATCCACACAGCTGTGCAGCTGGTGGTTCTGGCTCCAAGTGACATTGAGAAGCTGTAACATGCATGACAGATTTCAACTTCTTTATTCTTTCCATAGAAGATGTACAGATGATAGTAGCCTTGTCAAGCAAGTGGTCAACAACTTGGCTGGACACGTGAAGCTGTTCATCACTTGTTCTATGAAGGTACAGCTTGATCACTGGCTGGACAACATACTAGCTGGGTTCAGGACTTGCTTGATAAAGGTATCAGCTGGGTTCATGGCTTGCTTGATAAAGGTATCAGCTGGGTCCAGGACTTGTTTTGTTGAAGGCTCTGGCTGGATACATCACTGATTGATAAAGCTACATGTACTAACACCTGTAGAAGAATAAGCAAGTTGAAATCCATGTGTCCACCGCCTTGATCAGTCCAGGTTCCGTCGACTTGTATTCCTCCGTTGTGGTAGATTGGTGTGCAGTTTCATGTAATATACATATTCTGTTACTGGGACTAGAGGAAAGTCATCTGTTATTTAGATATATAAATAGATTATATTTTTACATCCACACACATGTGTACAGACAATGAATAAAGGAATATTTGGTGCTATTAGCTACTTGTGTTGGTTTGTCATTCCTGTATGAAAAAAACTGATTAGTTCTTGGTGAGTGAGTTTGGTTGGAGACCCCTTAGTACATTATATCAGTATTCTGTTAGCCTGGTGTGGGAGGAAAGCCCAAAGGAATGCAGGTCTTAGACATTTACCTATTGGTGAACGCACAAGCAAGGGTATGGTGCTGACGAAACTAGAAACAGATCAGGGAAATCCGTGATTCAAACCAACAACCACATCTCTGGCACACCTTACAGACATATATCTGTGCAAAAGATTGCAGTTTTTCAGACAACAGGGCCGTCCTTGCCCCTAGACCTCGTGTAGGAAGTGTTTGTATTGACTAAGTAATAGTTGTTACTAGAATAAGAAAGCATTTCCTGTGATATTGGCAGCTGGTTGGGAATGAAAAGATTCTTAAAGGACACATATGAACTCCTTTTTTTTAACATTGTTACATGTCGATTCCCAAATTGAAACAATATGTTAACCCAGAAATCTGTACATCAAAGAATTTAGTGTGAAACCAACAAGGTGTACAATCAACAATTGTGTTCCACAATTAGGTTTACAGATTACTACACATCAATTACAATGGCAGTAATAAGAGCAGTGGAAATGACAATGACAAGAATAATAATCGCCTCGCCACAACAGTGGCCAAGCTTCCGAGATAGCCCAAGGCTGAACACCAGGGTGAAAAGTGGTGCAAAAGCTGTCTTCATGTAATGTAAAATGAAATGTGAGATGAGAAAGTCATGTGCCCATTACTATCATATAGTCTGACTAGCTTTTCAGCACTTACCACACAGTGCTAGACCAGTCCAGTGTCTCTTGAACATCACAGAATATTCCGCAATAACTTTGTAACCACTGCTTACATTAAATAGTACCACATTCCTGACAACTAATCAGTGTCCAAATACAATGCAGTGAACTTCTCCTGAATCTCAACAGAAACAGGGCCAGTCGGGTAGTCTAGTGGTTAAATTGTTTGCTTGTCTCGTCGAAGACAGTGGTTTGATTCCCAACATGGGTACAATGTGTGAAGCCCATTTCTGTTCTGGTATCTCCCTGCCGTGATGTTCCTGGAATATTGCTAAAAGCAGTGTAAAACCATGCTCGCTCGCTCGCTCACACACTCACTCACTCACTCACTCACTCACTCACTCACTCACTCACTCACTCACTCACTCACCCACTCACCCACCGACCCACCCACCCACTCACTCACTCACTCACTCACTCACTCACTCTCACACACTCACTCACTAACTCAACAGAAACAATGTAAAACAGTTGTCATTGTGAAACAATCATGTCAATGTCATTTCCTCTGCTCTCACATTTTATACTGCGTTGAATGTTGTACTACCACTCCTGTTGTATACTGCTTTTGTAATTGCTGTGCAGTATTTTGAATTGATTTGTAAACGTAGTTAATTGTGTAATTGTTGTTTGTATACCTAAGTTTGGTTGTTTGTTGGTTTCACACTAAATCTTTGATGTACAGATTTCTAGGTTAATATATTGTTGTAAACAAATATTGTTTTGTAAACCTAGTTAAGTAACATAGTTGTTGATTGTGTATCATTTCACACTAAATTCTTTTACGTGCAGATTTCTGGGTTAGCATATTGTTTCAATTTGGGAATGGTCACGTAACACTGTATATAGACTTGTCAATTCCAGGGGCTCATAAGAATAATGGGAGACAACTCTTGACGGGGTTTTCACATCAAAGTCGTTGAGCTTCGCTAACTGAAAGTACGTTCAGCCCTGCACATTGCTGAAATAGCTGAACATCAATTTATACGTGTGTAGCATTTAAGCGCCTGGTTGGAGGCCATTCGTGTTTGCTGAATCATCGGAAAACGGTATTTGAATTATCAAAAAATAGCTGAACTTTAACATTACTTGGTGGTATGTGGCTGTTTACGCAATTTACAACTGGATGAGAACGTTTCCACTTTTTCTCCTGGGTGTATCTGAGGTACACTCCATACACGCTCATAACAGAAAAGATACTCTTTAGGCCAAACCGGGACACGCCCCCGCCACGTGGCCACTAATATCTCTCTTCAAGGAAATTTGACTGCAACACCTTGACCGAGTTAAGGCAGACTAGGGAACCTTTGGCCTTGTTTAGCTGTTTGGTCTCTAGATGTGCCTGCATTTTTTGCAATCATCGGAGCCGTGCGAATTTTGCTTAGGACGGAAGTAAGGTCAAGTGGTGGCCGCATTAACATCGTATTTGTACTGGGGGCATTAAGGGTAGAAACCACCCCCCAACCTTGCAACTTTCTCTTACACGTACCTCACGCATCCTTCCGGCGTC